TCCGGTGAATCGTGGACTCAATAGATTAATTAATGGATTTGGAAGTTAACTCTCGAACTGACCAAATAAACAATTCATTTCTGTATAAACTGTCGCCTGTAGAACAGCAGGCTCATATATCATCATCATATCGCTGCAGTATCAATCAATGGACAGTTATTTTAAAATTTATAATAGAAAATATATTACTGATGTCCTGAACCGGCTTCAGTAGTTTTCGACGATGCATTAAAACAGTGACTTTGTCCTATGCATATGAAATAAGATTTCTGAATATAAGATTATAGTGTGAATGAAAGTTTCATATAGAAATGGCTATAAAAACGCCAAGCCCTTGAATCAATAAAATGATTTTCTTGTTTCCCCCCAGACTAATCTAAACACGATAAACTAGGTTTCTGTACTATTACAGGTCATATCGCACGTTCAGTTCATGCTTGTTTTCGTTTGCATTGTTTCAAGAAATTGAATTCTCTCTGTTGAGAGGTTTTAAAGTGGTTGTGAATCGACAGTTATTGTGATCTGACATAATATTGTGATTCACGTCAGAAAAATATTGTAAAACAACATATTTGTTCCGTCCAGGTTAGAAATCATGTATATTTATTAATCTTTCTGTGTAACATGAAAGCTCTGTGTTCAACAATAATATTACATTGAGCAGGAATGAAAAATAAACGTCAGTTGTGTAACCGTCTGTAGAGTTGATCTAGTCGCCCGTTGATTATGGAGCCCGTCCGTGATGAGGTTGATTATTATTCACGGAGCTCCACAATAAATTTATAAAAACAAAAAACACATTGTTACTCACCGATTAACATCCCGAGTAAATCAAAATGTACTCGAATGTATTTGCTGCTTTGTATTTACAAAATACACTTGTAGTGTCGAAATGTGGCAACAAGCCGGTAATTAAAATATGGCGTTATCTACTGGAAAAATGTAATATTTGAATTACCACCTTGTTGCCACCTTTCGACTCTATCGTTGTCAAATTTTAGCAATGCCGTTATTGCTTCTTTGGGCAGTTACAAAAGTCAGTATTTTAATAAGTGAACTAATAGCTCGCGGAGCGCCTGGCTGTCTACTCACGAAGAGTAAACGTGTCAAAATAAACCATAAAATCGCCCTAAGAATATTAGTTGTCTTTCGACCGTTTTGTTACGTTGAGGTTTTTCTGGTTAGAGCACAAAGTGAAAAGCACGATTTAGCAAGCAAACTGACGACAAACTTTCAGCACTCGCTTTTTACGTTTCACTACAATATTGTGAACGCGTGGTGTCGTGGCAGATCGAGAAACACTCGCAAAAAGACTGCTGATTTATTGAACGGTTGGATTACATGAGAAATATTTTCGAAGAATGCGCGGTTGAACAAAAGTCATTCAGAGACAAATTAATAAAATATGACACAAAATTACAAGAGGTGGGGGAGGGGGGACTGGTTATCTATTGCCATATCTGATGATATGGACTGGTAACCGGGCGAGACGTCATTGTTTGCATCATGATGGCTTTCTTCTCCCAAGATATCAAAATCCTATTCCAAAGGGGTGTGTTTTCATGAGTCTTGAGGGTCTAAAAGATGTTTCAAGCTACGACAAATTGCTATGTATGATACAGAAAGATGCTTTTTTGTTACATTTCAAAGGGGGCGGTTCAGACCTCCAAACCACCCCCTCGTTACGCCCCATGCATAACAGGAAAATTCATGACTGAATAAAGTAATAGCTTTTGTGAAAAACTCATATCTTTTATTATAGATGACTAGGAACCATTCTAGTTGTTAAATGGAGAAAACATTTTCGGTCCCAAACTCAATTTTCAAAATGATTCAGAAATCACATTGGTTCCAAAACGTATGGGCCTTTCCATAGCAAAACAACCAAGCAACTAAGACAGATTTATAATAGCAAATAGCAATTCGGGTATAACGCTTCTGATATTCTTACATTAGAATTAAACCAATGAGTAGTAGGGATCTGTACTAGCTGGTACAACATTTGATATATGTTAAAGGTTAACAGTATCAAGCACCGCGATCACCATTTTTCCACGATAATAGATAAAAGCACTGCAGAATCCCAATGTGTCGATACTATTCAATGAGGTCATTGACCCAGATGAGTAATATATTAAATAATTGGATAGGTTTGCCACATACTGAAATAGATGGAAGCCCTAATGAATCTTTCAGGTTAGGACTCGTGGATGCGGATTCCATCAAAATAAACAACGGGTCTGGAGGCATTTCTTATTGATAAAGAAACCGGGATCCTCGATGATAAAGATGTTCACACATTATTTTATTTGTAATTTGAAGTAATTTATGACAGAATGTCTAATGTTGAGTCTTATATGATGAGTTTAGTCTTTTCATATATTCAAGCAAACATATTGCTTCAAATTTGAACTAAAAAAGCTGCAGGGATACGCAATATATCCCCATTTGGAACGACGTCTCGAGCCTTTTCCTGTATGAGAATAGAGATTTGGAAATGCGTTGCATGTAATGACGCATTATTTGTGTAGAGACCGAAACATCTCCAGTTAATTGTATCAAGATAGTTGGCGAAGGGCCGGAACCCCCAAGATTAAATCTTTAATATCAAGATAGTCAAGCCAAACATTGTAATTACCTGTCAAAATTGAGGCCCCAATTAAAAAATGATTAATTACATTGCATAAATATATTGCATAAATTTGTATTTTTTTTATTAGCAAAAACACAGTCCTATATTCAAGAGTTGTATGTTTAGGGTAGATCGGGGAGAAATGTTACGGGGCGAGTTTTTACACACTATTTAAAAAAACGCTTGGTTAAGTTAAAATGTTTATGTCTCTATCTGTCACAAAATATGGCTGGACTGGTTTAATCGCAACCAATTTTGATAACGTAGTGGCTTTTGGCATGGTTGATCATGGCAGGTATTGTATCAAACAGCCTATTGAGTCTATTTTTGAATCTAATAAGGGGAAAATTGATTGTGTTTGGGGATGAAATTGTATTTTGTATTTGCTGGTTGCATCACTAATATTTTTCCACTATTTAGTATTAGTATCAGTAGCGTAGCGGCCATAGGTAAGGCAGCCATGGGAGTTGTTAGGATACTGGCGAAAAATAAGTGAAAAGTTTTAATCGTAAAAAGATTTAGTAAATGAATTAAAAATTGGAAAAAATACAAAAGCCAGAGTACCAGTCGCACGTATCGTAAATATAAAGGATGCAAATGGTGTGTTTATGCGTAGTTGGGGAGGAATCAGGAGCTTAAAAATTGGCCAAGGGGTAATGTGTCAAAAAATGATGGAAACCACTAATCTGATAGAAGATGATAGAGCAGATAGAGAATCTATAGCTAGCGAATAAAACCTCGAAGAAGGCATTCCAGTGAATATAAACAACGTTAGGTAAATGCAGAAGGTCGCATTTGAAAAAAAGGGGAATTTCAATATTCCTACATTGGTCGAAGTTCGAAGTCACACTGTTTAATTTGTCCCAATTCCATCAATGTAATGAATGTGAATGTTGTTTCCATTTTTAAATAACAACACCTGGACTGGATAATGAATTGAGTCGCAATATATGACGCAAACTACATATAACAATATATTAGTAATATGGTATAAATTATAAAAATATTGCATGCGGCCCGCAACATACTTGACAACACATCTGAGTGACATGCGCTGAGTAGAATCAAGCAAACAGATGCTCTCACATTTTATTTACTTATTAATAATGTAGCCTAAGTAGGTCATTACGGTACGGTGAGGTTTGAGTGGGTTGAACAGGGTTTTACTCGAAATGTTTTCTATCAAACTCGTAATAAATTTTAACGTCAAAACCATCCAACCTCCTGAATAAGGGGTTACCTGGTTTTACGTTCTTGTATGAAAGTGTATTACTTTGAAATTTTGGAGCCGGTAGAATTCTGCATTACAGAGCCATTGGCTTTGTGTTACAGCTATTTGTGTTCTTAATCAAAGAACTGTTATATAGGTCATAAAATAAGGCATGTTTAATCTGCATTATTTCACCTCGTTTTTTCAACCAATGAAGTATTTTATACAATAAACTCCGGAAAAATCAATTGACGAGGTTAGAATAGATTTAGATACAGTATTATCGTCATAGATAAAACGAAAATTGTGGTTATGATAGGCCTATGGGTTTTCTATTATGTTTGATTCAATAAAACGTTTTCCGGGCCCTGAACCATGGAATGCGATAGGTCCTCGCTGGTATGCAGGCTACATTCAAACTACCTAAAATACATCTAAAACGATATTTGATGAAGAGTGTTTCTGATGTCGGAATCGCTCCCTAAACATGTGTATCCACGAGTAGAAGTGTTTGGAAATCTTTTAACGTGGATCTGTCGTTGAAAATCAAGAACCGCTGCATTACGTGACTGAAAGCTATAGCCGCTCATATAGTGGATTGTATAAATGCCGAAAACACTCTCTAGTGTGGCGTTGAGTTTTGCGTGATATGTTGGGGTATTTGCAATATGAAAAACAATTTTTTCTCGTCCTATACTCGAAAATCGTTCTCATTGTCAGGATATGTCAAACACTATATATTTGAAATTTTTTGGGAATAGAAAGTATTTGGTCTAATTTTTGTTTAGCGAAGACTTATCGAATGGGATTGTATTTGCTCAAAAATCGGAGAGTGATGATTTTGTTTAAAATTTTTCCCTTTTACAAAGCTGTTGAATAAATATTTAATGGCTGTACAAAGCATTATCATGTTTTTATAGAGCTTATTTAAGCAGTTTATATGGTTTAAACTTTAAACCATCAGGTCTATAATAAAAAGACAAACCAATAATATAGGACGACTACTACCATTTAGTTCACATAACTTTTTAGTATCCGCTCCTCATTGCTTATTTTTGTCGAAATAATCTAAATGGCAAAACATTCCAGATTTAAAGCGTTTCAGCTCTCACTTGAAACAGCTTGCCTTGCTCAAATTCAAAACTATTGACTCAACTATTTGCATTTTTGCTTTATCCAAATATACAGAACATTATAAAAAGCTAGGCAATTAGAAAATTTAATTTTCCTACATCAGTAAAATTAAATATTTTGACTAAGCTGAACATCAAATCAAAAGATGGTTGGCATAATGGCAATTCTCACTGTTGAAGAAAGTCGGTATGCAGACTCCAATTCATCTTGCAATTCAATATTAACATTTTAAGTAAATCAACAAATATGATTTAATATGCTTGATTTATTCGATACTTTTGGAGCCTCAATTTATAAATCAAAAATAAAGATGAAAATGTATTTAAAAATTATGATAATGCAATTATATTTCGATTGATCTGGAACATTGTTGAGTGGTCATTAAACAATTATTTGAGTTGATATCGTCAGAACTGGAAGATTCATTCAAAGCAGCGTAGTATCGAAATCAGCCATGCATTCCTTCGGAATAGCAAATTCTTCGTGACCAAACTCTCTCAGGGTGACATCGAAATATCTGAAATAGGCAGAATTGGGTTGAATAATTTGAATACTATCACTGTTATAACAGAAACAAAATTGCGCAAAAAAGACATGACAAATATCATTCAATTTTTATTTCAAATCGGTGCTTTCAACTGAGGAAAATATATAGATTTTTTTATTCAGCATCGCATTAGATATTTCTTAATAGTAAGCAATAACAATTTTTCAAGATATTTCAACAAACATTGTAAAAGTATTAGTCTTACGTTCTGTGAAAATGCAACGTCTGTCCATGCATCATGCCTCGAAATTCGTGATAAAATGGAATGCAGTCCCGGTGTGTAAATTCAGAAACAAAGGTTCCTAAAGCATAAAAAGAAAAGTGTTGAATGTATATATCTATTAGGTTCGAGTACGGAAAATGATGTGCTCTAATTCTTTTTTATGATTCGTGTAAAAAATTTGAACTAAACAGCCTTATACACACAGAATCACAGCAAATACCGTGTTTACCCATACCGTATAATTCAATTAAATTGCATCAAATTTATTAGACTTCGTCAGTTTGTTTTGACAAAATGTATCGAACAGTACTAAAAAAACATGTTCTGAATTAGTTGAGATTTTATCTTTGTATACCTTGAACGGTCGTGGAATTTTCTGTCATGACCCATACACCCAATCCTACACCATCTCCGGGCGGGGCTCCAATGGTTATGTCACTAACGTGTTTATATCCTTTTTCGACGCCAATCGGGCGGAATTCCATCTTGGGCTCTGATTTTGTGCATTTACGAGTTTTCAGGTCCACTTTGTATTCTTTTCTCTGTAAATGTTTAGACAGCCATCACACTGTCACGCTCATCACACTGTTTTGAGCCGTTTAATCAGCCATAAGTGAGAACAATCGAATTTTGTGAATGAACATTTTCAATCGAATTTTTGAATTTCTTTATGTTCTTTTTTTGCAGAGCGAGTCAGATTCGACTCTTATCCATATATCAAAAATTGTACCTAGGCCCTTGAATCATGAACATTTTTTGAATCAGTGCCAAAATATAGTTCGATATTTACCTCGCGGTAGAGGACAAGTATATCTTCGGCTGATCTTGTATCATTTTCCATAGTTTCTTCGATAAATCGAATTCTCTCTCCAATAGCATCGTAATACATTCTTCCTTGTTGATAGAAGTCAGTGGCGTGATCATACTGAAAAAATAAGTTGGGCCTTAAATGATGAGAAAATGTAATGTTATCCGACCTAAATTTGAACGGTGTTTCGAGTACAGTTTTAAAAATGCGATCGTGTAAAAGTATTTGTTAAGTGTTTGAATGTATATTGCACAGTTACATTTTTGAGAGGTATATAGTTGTATATTTGAATGTATTCTCGTAAGTTGATACTATACAAGTTAAAAAAACTTGTTATTGTCACTAAAAGAATTAAATTTGCTATTAGTCAAATATTGCATCCTAATGCTTTCTAATGATATGAACTAACCTGGTATACTCTGGATTCAAAATGTCTGGGAGCGACTGAAAAATGAGAAAATCATAAGACGGTGTTATAAGGGTAAAAAATATTTGGCTATTACTGAGACAAAAAATATAGGTATATCGATTCGCAAGTCGCAATTTCTTTTTATAACGAGTCGCCAATATCGAGCTTATTTTTTTAATTTCCTAATTTTCAGTTTTCCTATTATAGTATTTCGACCTTTTTTATTTCAAGGTCTTAAATAGTATTGTAATTCACATCAATATTAAATAAAAAATATAATCTCACCGCAGGTACGCTCTTGAGCGAACACCACGACGCTGCACACAGATACAATGAAAATAAGTTTAAACATTTTGCTCGTTTCCTAAATCACCGATTTATAAGTGCAATTAGAAATGTCGAACCGCGTATGTGTGGATGGCTGATGCAGACCCGCTTTTATACTTGCATGCAGCAGAATATAAATCACCTGATCGAGTTTTTATATGTGTTTATGTTTGAACAATTGATAGACTTTGTAACTGTTTGACATCTGCAATTCTGCAACGATAGTTACATAACCACCTGTAGTTAGCTTTGCTTCGTGTATCAGGGTTAAATATTGAATAATATATAATTGTTACAAGGATTATTTATCGTCATATTCATTCTCTTTCGCTTACATCTCGCCAATATCGCGCTATTGTTCATCGTGCTGTAATCACAGTCGTTGCGACAATGAACTGTATTCGTATCATTACGAGACGGTAGTTTGATCAAGCTTGTTTGTACCTAGTGACTATATAATTTGATGGCGTGTTTTTGTGTTTAGGTTAAGATGTGATTTGGTTTCTATTCGGTTGTTATAAATAAATTGTAATTCTGGGTGGTAATAAAAAGTTCAATTTGTTTTTTCACTCATAAATACCTGTCTGAATCTTCCTTATCATATTGATTACAGCGATAAAAAAACTCGAAAAGCAAAAAAGGGGAATGTGAGCCTCAGTGAAAATACAGACTTAAATGAGCCAACCCCGTTCGGCAATTTGAAAAATTAATGTTTTTCAATTTGAGTACGCGCAGTAAATGGTGCTCATTTGATCAACATTTACCTTCGCTACATATATCCCGACCTTGACAAATGTCCTTGGCTCCGATGATTTTGCAGGTTAAATATTCTACAGTTAATCGGACGCTTTGGCTCAACAGCTCGACATTTACCTGCGGTATATATACTTTGACGCATGTCTGGAATTGCTATTAGTAAAGAAATTGCTATTCTTCAAAGCCAAATGACAAAGTTCACAAAGTCACCCACAATGTTTTTAACGCCAATTCACGGATTAATTAAAAAAAAATGTTAATATTTTAGTGATAAAAAATTATAATATTATTAAAATCAGCATTATTACAAACTAAGAATAAGTGGGCTATCGCGTATTGACAGTAAGTTTGATTTTGAGAGCAGCTACGCAAAACGTGCGCTGCCAAGTGCAATGTTCTTGTGAAGTTTATTCAACGTTTTCAGATGTATATAGCCTGAATGTATAAAGTGCTATGAACTAAAGTTGGGTAACAAAATTTCGATAAATTAAAACGTGTGCCATGGCGATGGTGTCAAAAGTATTAAGATGTAAAAACAGCGCTCCAAAAGTAAGTGTTCCAATATAGAGGATTAGAGGTAACTAATTTTATTCGCCTACTTCACATCAAGTTGTTTGTGTATATGTAAAGGAATGGAAGCTTATGGGCAGGAGGTATATTCAAAGGCATTTTCGAGGGAGATTGACAAAGCAAGATCACGAAACGTAAGGATCTGACATAGTACAGGTTTATATAAGTAATAGGTGGAGAACCACACATCAAAGTCTGTTTTACTCATTTCCTGATTTCATAAATTCTCTAAGATATATATTATATTCATGATTGTTTTTCTTTAAAAACACAAGTTGCGGAAAAGACGCATCGCTTTAAATATCTATGACCCACAGTTTTCATTTTTATAATACGATATAATTTTGACCCATTCATTACAAAAGGTGCTTCACGAGGATATGTGATTTTAACTTAATGAGTTTATAACTAGATTTGGTTTAGAAGTTTTACATAAATCATTTAATTGTATATAAAACTCAGTCTATATGTCCATATTTACACTTTTTTTTTATATTCGCTCGCTGAAGTTATGAATCACCTGATCGCGTGTACAATGTGTATACTAGATTAGTGTTTGAACAATCGATAACATCTGCAATTCTGAAACGCTAGTTGCATAACTGAAAAGTTGACTTTGTATTGTTTCATCGCTAAAGAGATTTCAGTATACATTATTGTTACAGCAATTGCGTTCTTTTTGCTGAATTTTGCATCACTCCGTGCTTTTCATGTACCTCAGCTTCGTCGTGTTGTAATCATTGATTGTCGTTAAGCGACAATGTATGAGGACTTGCCTATTCGGGTATATGGCGGTAATTTGTAGTTGCTTGACTGTACCCAACGACTATCTATTTTGTTGCCTGTAAAAATAGCATAAAAGCATATATATAGTGATGATGTCTGCCATTTTAATTGGCGCCTATATACAAGCGCTAGAATGGGATTGGTAATTTGATTAGCATATACAGTCGAAAGTATGCATATACAGCCATTCATATCAAGAAACCTTCCAATTACCCAGCCTACTAATTAGGCAGTAATATCTATATATATACATTTCATAGCAGATAAACAAACTTACAAGTTTAATTAAACAACTCACAGTACTATGTGTAGGTGACCGTACATTTGAACCCATGTGTATATCGGGTTCAATCTATATGCGGGTGCTAAAACCCATGGGTTAGGGTTAGTATGGGTTCAAATATCCGCAAAATAAAAAAAATTCCATATAGGTGCAATAGTATGCAGGTGCAATTGTCGTGGGTTCAAATGTACGTGGGTTCAAATGTACGGGAACCCTATGTGTAGCTTCGCGCAGATGTTAGTTTTGGTGGACCTGTATATATATATATATAACTGTTACATCTTAACACAAGAACCGCTACAATTTATTTTCTTCTAGCAACAACAACAATCATTAACCACTGAAAATTGATCCAGTACTTGATGAGAAAAGCGATTTTTTTTCACACGAAGAAGAACAATACACAATGACAAAATGATCCAAATGTCCACTCCATGTCCAATAAGGTGTCGGTCACGCAAATATTCAACTTAAAACACCAAGTCATAATAACCTATGATATTTCGTGGCCATGATAAGCACCTAAGAACGCTATAATATAGAAAAGTACAGTCAGGGGTATAGCATCTGTGTCGATTTGAGTTTCAATACTGTGTACTGGAATTTAAGCGGGAGTAGGAAATTTTTTTGAGGCTACGGTAGACTTTGGTATTGTAAAAATATTTGATAATACAGCTGTGATTCGGATCATTTAATTAGTATTTCAATTCACGTTGAGACTTAAAGAATGAATCATCATTGTCACACGACCCGAAAAGCATTGATGGTCCTGTTAGGCCGGCACCCTGATGGAGATACTGGACACTGGTAAGTTAGAGTACCTGTTCCACAGTTATAATTTCGTTCAGAATAGGACTTTTGGGGGTTTGTGGGTAACAAATTCGTTTTAGCTTTTTAAATATTTGAGAACCGCTCTTTTGTTCATAGTCTACTAATAAAATGCTACTCAAGTTTACGGACAAGTCGAAGATAGAAAGTAAGTGTACATAAATAATATCAAATCCGGGCGTGTTTGGATTTCACTGAGTGATAAATTTGTAGCAAAGAATATTTTATTGCACGGCTTTGCAATGATCGACATTTGTTCTGGACAACCTCAATATGGCGTTTGACTCATATATATATAATATATATCCCTATTTCTGTAAAACGATTGAAAAATATTTTATCCACATTTCCATGCAGTTTGAGAAACGAACCACGCGGGTATTGGTATCTTTGGTATACATTGCAATGAGGCCTTGTACAAAATTAGCCTCCTCTTTATAAATTCTCATTGCGCTCCTCGTTTCAACCATTCAATACGATGGGGTTTGACGAGGGCTTGGAGAATAGCGCATGGGTTCGGCACAGTGTTCCCTCTAAGGTGTGCGCGTGTGCGCGCGCACACAGCTTTCAGAGGCTGCGCACACGCATGGATTTACTGCGCGCAGACGTATTTCGATGTAATGTAACTATGTGCTTGGTTGGCAGGTTGAGAAAGTTTGTTGCTGGACCACTTATTAGCCGGTTAAAACCCAAAATTTCTTCATTGTTTTTTGCACAAATATTATTCATTTCCAAAAAAGTGCGCACACATCAAAATTTCTGCGCACACATACTACAAAAAATTAGAGGGAACATTGGTTCGGCATGCTCGCAAAGGTTAAGAACCACAGTCTTAGACTCTCTTGACAAGTGTTTGTTGCCAATAAACTCCTTGCAGGCAATTCGCGTTAAAACTATTTTATTTCAGGGTTCAAGTCTCACAAACGGTATTTGGTTAGACATATATTCCGGCAATACTATAACCAAATTACAGTAAAGATGCTTCAGACTTTATTTTTGAATTGAATAAAGACAGAATAAATGCAAAGATTAGGCTTTTTTCTGATTAAGTTTATATTGAAGAAAAAATCATTAAAATTGCTATTCATTTGAAAAGATGAATAGCTAATACAACTACAGCAACGTTGTATCAAAATGAGGAGAGCATTCCTTCGGTACATTAAAATCTTCAGGCTTGATTTCTCTTAAGGTGACGTCATAATATCTGAAATTACCAAGGAATTGAATGTAAGGCATTACTTGATGCGAATAACATGAAATATTGCCATAGTGATATATAACCATTATCCTATAATATAACACAACGAATAACGCACGATCGTTTGAAAATAAAATAAAATCATCTTGAATTAATTGTATATATGTGTAGTAATATTATATTTTAGAAAAAATAATTCATACGTTCTATGATAATGCATTTTTTCTCCATGCATCATCCCTTCAAATTCGTGATAAAATGGAATGCAGTCATGACGAGTGAATTCAGAAATGAAAGTTCCTGTCAGAATATTATATGAAAATATGTAAAATATTATCGGCTTCGAGGAAAAATTTTAAGATTGAAAATTTTGTTCGCTCTTCCTTGTATGGGGTATAATGTATATATATAAACTATAGGCGTGTTTCAATCTGTTTTCAATGACAAGTCAATTCATTGTAGTTAGTCACTCCCGCGTAGTAGTTAAGTGGATTATTTGCCAAATGTTATCAAAGATATCGAAAATGTCAAGTTGGAAATGAAAGGGATGGTGGGATTCCCTTGAACGCATTGGGTTAGCTCACAAATAACACAATAGGTGATCTAAACTGGTAACCGAATAAGAAACTGTATTTTGCCAGATGCGTGAGACGCCTTGGCGGTAGTTGTCTACCCTGGGTTATATAAGAAGTCAACTTGAGTAGCGTATCCAAATATATGGAATGACAATATTACAAAGTTAGATTTGATTTCTGCTCTTTTGTTTTATCCCTTTTAGTCAATATCAGCAATAGGTTGTGTCTCGAAATTTGCATATACTTCTTACCTTGAACATCTGTCGAGTTTTCTGTCATGTACCAGACTGATATCTCAACTCCTTCTTCGGGGATCGATCCAATTATCAAATCTTCAGCATGCTTGTATCCATGTTCTACACCGATTGGGCGGAAATCCATTTTGGGGGATGACGTCACACATTTATCTGTTTTCAAGTCGACAGTGTATTCCTTTCGCTACAAAACAGATTCAAAGTAAAGCAAACTCATTTCACGACACTTCATTTTGCTATTCTACATATATACAACAAATGCTTGCTTAGGAATAGCGTTTATGCTTTGAACGGAAAAATATAAAGATGAATTATTAATTAGTTGTTACCTCACGGAAGAGTATCAAAACATCTTCTGATGGTCTTGTTTGATTTTCTGCAGTTTCCTCTATGAATCTAACCCGTTCTCCTACTGCATCATAGATCATACGTCCTTTGCGATAGAAATTGGTGTAATGATCATACTGAAAAATAAAACTAATAATCAGACTGGGGTAATGCAAAATATTTATATTTCATTTATGTGGCGTAATTGAAAGTATCATTTTTATACAATATATATTTAATGTGTACCCAACCACCTTGTTTTAATATGTTTAATCGTCTCCCGCCAATTAAAAAACGAAATGCCTATGGAAGATGACCTGGCATTTAAAGACCTATTATAAGAATAAAAGAGCGAAATCGCCCGGGCTAATTTGGGAATATGAAATTTTATCAGCATTGTAACAAATTGCATCGAAATACAAATGTTCAATAATTTTAGTCGTTAGTCCAAAATGTCACAAACCTGATATAGTCTCGATTCAAACTGCTTTGGAGCAACTGAAAAGTAAGTGGAAAATGTCACATTTTCATGCATTTTCAGATATATAATTGTACATTATTCAAAACTGTTTTGGCCTCGAGGCTGTTATTTAGTTGACATTTGTCAACACCTAGATCAAGGTAACATAATAAAATAAAATGTAGCATCAGATTAACATTGGACCTTACCGCAAGCTCGTTCCTGAGCAAACACAACAACGCTGGATACGACAAACAATAAAACAAACTTGAACATTGTTGTTTTGTATGCTGACAATTTCAACGATTAGCATATATATAAGACTAAGCTGCAAATGTACAATTGATTCAATCATTAGGCATTTATATATTTATCTTGTTTATCAGCTAATAATTTCGAGTCATGAGACCCTAGTCACAAGATTTTTGTTTGTATTTGAAGAGAGCAAGCAAACATGTTACACTTTACCTGTGCTTCAGCAAACAAAATTTTGCTGCAGCAGCTCTGATAAGTCAAGACAATGTGCCATAAATATTATGACTCAACTAAAAAAATTAAATTTGCTACCTGGTCAAAAGGTAAAATTCGACTGTCTTAGAAATCAAATTCCATTAATGCCCAACAATCCGGAATGAAAAATATATTTTTATATATATCGAGGAAAATACGCAAAGCGTATTATTTATTATTTATCTTAAAAAACGATAGTGTGATATAAAAGATCAGCGTAATTTGGCGAAATTTCAAACTAGCTCTGGGATCTATCTAAACAACGATTTATACACAGGCGCCAACAATCATGTCTTTATCATGCATCGAAGTTTTTTCTTCGTTCATATGATCGTATATTCGTAATTTGGTGGTTGCAGTGACTTTTAACATTGTCATGGGATATTCATTTTGTCTTAATGTCTTCTTGATGGGATTAATTTCTTGTTTTGGTTTTATTTCGTTTGATATCAAGGTCTTAGCGCGACTTATAACACTCCTGACTACGGAACGCTTATGACGTATCGAATGGTTAGAATTGGAGTTAGCGGTTGGTGTGCTTTTTCACTAAATTAATAAATTTCACTAAATTTATTTTTACTTTCCTTTTCTTTGTACCTGTACATCAGAAAATTATATTATTAAGCTCCTCTACACATGGTTCAATTGGATTGATAAAATCATCGACAAATCGCAAAATTCTTCTGTGATAATGTTGAACATATATATATACAGCTATTAGAGAAAGAAATAAGTAATCTTTGTTATGTCTGGACAATATTGGTTGAAACAATATCGACAGAAGAACCGATGGCTGTTTCGAAAATTTGTTGATAATGCTCCCATCGGAAACCTAAATTAGCCGCACTCAAACAGATTGTTACGGCTTCACATATCTTGACGATCGATAGCTTAATGAACTGTCTCTTTTTACTCGTTTGCAGATCATTCTAATAGCCAAGTCAATCGAAACATCAAACACTATAGAAGTTTGAAGATTCTTAAGTCGGCTGCTTAATAAATGATACTACTGATCTTAAGAGTATATTCCTATTTGTTGAGACATATGCAATCTAAGACAATTCAACTGAGTAGTTGAATTTCCAGGTTGTACAGAATTTACATTATCCAGATAGGCACATCATGCCAGTGTACTTCTGTATCTTATGAACATACATGAACCTCGAATAGATCAAGTTAAACACAAGCTATATTCACATATCATGTCAGGTTGGCTATAAAACACAACAATGAATGGAATTACACATAATTCAATAAAGAAGGCAACAGTTCAAAACCAACAAGTTTATTGCCACGTTGGTTGTCCACAAGTTCGCCTCAAATGAAGTTGGTAATATTATAAATCTGGCTGTTTTAGACTTACCATGCCATCAGCATAAGGCTTATGCTCTACAATTTTATGTTTTCCCAAAAAAGTAGTTTATTTGTTAGTATGCAGTCCAAACGAGCCCATTTCAAAACATCCATCATTATTGATTCAAAATCAAGCTACTTGTCTGATGCGGTCTAACCACAAGCCAACCACCTTAGTGTTAGAGTTGCGAATTATCCATGTGGTGCAATTGCTCCTGGTGATTACTAGAAATTTCCAATCGTTTAAACCTATTCATAGTTCAAATTACCGTCGCCATGCTGAGTTGAATTTTTGCCTCAGCATAATTTTTTTTTTACCTTTTAGCATATTTTGAAGGCGAATTATTCCCGGGTGCCGTTTCTCTAAAACCAGCACCGGTTTAGCGCGTCTCCACTCGCCTTGAAATGCAACTTTTTTTACTTAATTTTGAGTGCACAATATGTATATTTCCAGTATGGTGGAAAAATGGTCTACCGATTACTGTATATCTCAGTCACACATACTCTATTTAGTTAAGTTTCTCGCGGCTGGCGATCCATGATTACAAAATATACTTATCAATCTCTAGTTAGTATTATGATCTTTTCCCACAAGAGTAAATGTCCCATTTCATGATCTTTTACCATACGTGTGTAATTGCTATATAAATTCCAACAACATACATGAAGAGCGTGTGTATTCACTATCACACAATTCCACAGTGTGAAGAAGTACAAATATAAATTCGTTAATTGTCAGTACTGATACATTACACTGAAATGCCTCATTCCCAATATTCAACGAATCTGCATATAAATTACAAGACATACTCAAATCTTGAACAAAAGCGAACTTTTGTATATTGAAACATTATACATATTTTTTAGCATATTCTTGCGAAAATTCATCTAGATTTTTTTCATCCCCAAACTACTAAAAATTGCTTGATTCAGTAATCTTTATAATATGAAAATAATAGTTTTTGGCAAGAATGAGAAAGTCAAACTACACAGTCCAATTTCTGTTTTCATCCAACAATCTTTGCTTTTTGGTCATGATATGCATCATATAACCTATCAAATATATGTTTGCATTCAAATTTGCTTTTCAATTTTGACGCAATCAAGAAACCGCCAGAAAGTTTGCGATGTAAAGAGTAGCTTTCTTCTGGTGGTGCAGTGAGTCTATGCTCCATCATAGTTGGCACTAGGCTAACTATGCGACGAGTTGTGTCTTGAGTGGTGAAATCAAATTCTCCATCTTTTGCAAAAGGCTCACCAAGTATCATTACTGCGTCAATGTGAGCATCCTCCATAACCTGTTAGAAAGAATTAATATTACCAGTATTTTTATCCAAAACAATTTCATCAAATATAAAATCCTGGGTACTACAAACCGACTACCCCAAAAAGGTCTTTCATTGAATGGTCAACATTTGGGAAACAGAACAGATAAGGGATGAAAAATTTGGAACACGAATTCCTTCTCAAGGCACAGGAAAGATGGCTTGATCATATGGCAAATCAGACAAGCCAATCCAATATCAAACGACTTCGTTGCATATATTTATTTGACATTTTGAAAAAAAAAAAATTAATTAAATCAAATTGGTTAATTTTTATTTGAATATTGAATACTGACCTTTGATTCGTATCCTGTTAAAAATTTTAAATTTCTTGATTTTTCTAAGACAGTGTTTCTATCACCTAATGATGCAGCTCGTACTACCTCAATATATTCATCAACAAACTTGTCAGAATATTCTCGACTAGCTCCGAAATCAAGTAAATGGATCTAAAAGTGAAAGCTTTAGGAATTGAATGAATTTTAAAGTATTAAGACAAAAGAATAATTGTGATGTTCTGATCCAAAACAATACAAATTAGCAAGGTTATCAAACATGCCTTGCCTAAGTGAAAAAAATCATTGCTTGGTTAATATTGTTTAGAAAATTTATTTAAAAATGAGTCATGTCTGGAATAAATCATTGTCCAACAAAATGAATATGTAGTTTGCGCAATTTGTCAAAGTACAATATCAAGAAACACTATTGTTCAAAAAAATGATCTGAGTGACAATAGCACTGTGAGTAAAATTTTGGGTTGGAGAATAGAAATTTTTACAGTGTATCCAAAGAAAAACTAATTAGTGGAGTAGATAGGTCTTCCTCATTTAACAGTTTTTCGATGACGCGGCCATCAGAAGCACCATAATTTTGGCCCATGAAACAGTTGAGGCCCCTGATGCATATATATATGAGTTTGCTGAAAATAGACTCATTTAGAATATAAAAGAATTTAGTGCCATAATTCCAGAATATCAATTTATTCGTGCATGGTCATCATACATTATCCATGGCAATAACAAATCCCTGTTTGCAACTCCAGATATTAAAAAATGAATGAAGAATAGAAAAAGCCATTTATTCATTCTTGTACAATACTACAACTGAAACTAACCTTCTTTTTCTCTGGATCATAAAAGAAATTTGACCAATTCGGATCAGTTTGCATCATACGGAATCCAAATATTTCTCTCATTAGTAGATTGAGCATTGCACTTGCAACCTAATTTTAAGCACAAAAAATTGTATCACAATAGGAAAATACACCAATATCTCAGATTATAGCTATCTTGCTAGTCCAGCAATTTCTATATTGTCCATTATCTCAGTCAGGCTATGATAAAAGGAATGTCTTGAGCAAACAACTTAACAAAAAGCAATGAAATGTACATTAAATATTAGAAAGCAATTTTATACAAAATTAGCTGGGAAGCAATCACTATTTTATTGCGTAAAAGTTTACTGCAATGTTCGATACAGATCCAATATACACTCAAACCAACAAAAATGTCCCAGATATTATATTTCACATAAACTAGCAAATAATCCACATAGCAAATTGTAAATATGAGACAGACAGGGAGCGACCATATTTGCAGAAAACTGATATTGGATGAGATCTAGTCACAAAAATTCTTTGTCAGCCTATTTTTAATGTAAAAAATATTACATGATGAGCCTATATGCTCATGCATTAAAAGAACATCAGTAGACTCACAAAATTTCTCGTATCTTGATCCATATTAGCAACTTGATCTAACGGAACACCAGATATCATGGTGGTGGTTATTACTTGTTTAGTACTTAACTCTGGTATGATTTCAGGCACATGATATCTTTCATCATCACTCAGTAATTTCCTGTGTGAAATGAATCAGTAGCTTTGTGTTGTGGGAAAACAGAACACTATTTAGTTTTTGTTTTGTATATGCCACGGAAGTCTTCTTTGAACTAGATAACTCATGTTTTAACTATCCTTATAAGAAATGAAGTAACTAGTTCAGTTAAATAGAAATAACATGGGCGAAAAATAATTATAGAACTTTTAAAAATACATGGATATAATAATCTTGAATTAAACATTAACATGTTTTAAGATGGAGTTAATCATTACACGGAGGAGAGTAAAGGGGCAAACTATGTGCTCGTACGATGTGTAGACAAGGCGGAAGGGCGAAAATGTTCAGTGGCTATGTAAACTACGCTGACATAATGGAACTGTTAGCAAATCTAATGATAAGATTTGTAAAAAAATTTTATAGCGTATTTGCAGATTTCAACTTAACATACACTTAACACATATGGAGGTAAAAACGAACCGAAACTTTTGTGAATATTCTGCTTCCCTCAAATAATCACATTCAAGTGCTAATTCTTCTCGTGCAACAGAGATGAATTTATCGATGAAAAATTCTAAAAATGCAGAACATTTGATAGATTAATAGATTCGTTTCATTATTAGATTTGTGTGTAGTTATCATGTTAATCATCGCCATTCATCATTTAAATTGTCAATATATTTTTGACAAATTATTTTTTTGATTGAAAATCCCATTCCACTGGTAGGCCATCTGCATTTTACCACACCGAGCAAAGTTTAGTTTAAAGATGTGTTTCTCAGAGTGGGTCATGAGTTTTCATGGGGCCGAAAAGATGTGAAAAATGTATGGCTGAAATTGAACTATGATTTGGAAGTTCAAATTGACAAACTGATAAATAGATTAACAGAGATTAATTTGGTCAATGACACTTTTACTGTATGGTTTATATTAATGAAAAACATTTTTATGATAATCAGGATTTTTATTGAAGGTTGTGGTGGCCTAAGATTTTTTTAGCGCTGAAAATGGGCCACAAGGAAATAAAGGTTGAGAACGACTGGTTTTAAGTAACTACAGAGATCTGATTAACTCTGGAGACATATCTGGCATTCATAATTTTATCAATACATATACCTGCATAAATATACCATTAGTGTGGAGATGGGGGTGGTCTGAGGATTCTTACATACAATATACGATGGTGGTGATCAAATATCTTGGACTTGGGGAAACTCATTTTCACTGTCAATATAAATTGTGATTTAGCGCCGATAGAAACTCCAGATTTGATCACACTCACACAGCTATAAGATCTTCATAGTTTACCAAGGTATATCAAAACAGCCATACAAGTGTATAAAAAAGATATTAGCAGAAAAGAAAAAAGGAATACTTTCAGGAAAAAGGTTCCAGACTTTCAATAGTGTTACAAGGTTATTTATATCGCTGTTAATGCTGTTTGCGACACCGGGATATTGTATTTTCATTGCAACTTCTCTACCATCATGCAATACTGCCCTGTGAACCTAAAAAATAAATCTATTGATTTTTAGGACTCGTTTCTTACATTCGGTCAAATTAGGACCTTTAACAACCAATTACCCAGAAGTAACAGCTATTAAATTATAGAAAAGCTGCTATCATCCTTATTTGGAATAGCCCCAACTAATTACTATGCCTTAGGTCAGCGGTTCCCAAAGGGGGCGATTTGCTAAGTGCGTTAAACATAACTAATATAAGATTGAATATTTTACATATTGCATTTATTCTTATGTTTTTTATTTTCAATGCATGCATGTATATGAATCAATATATTCATTTTACTCTTCTATGTCGTTTACATTCTGTTACATAGTGTCTGCTTCTATTGATATGATAATTAACCGTAACATAACTATTGAGGTTGACACTACTTGCTGCAATTTTGCAAGCTGCAGTTTATTTATCTGCTTAGCGAACATGAGTGATTTTTTTAGTATTTCAAAGGAACATCAGGCAGAAACGAGGAAAAAGGCCTTTATGCCTTTATTCTTTAGGCTCACATGTTTACAAACTTCAAATAGAATAAAGTACACATTAATGATCACAAAATTGAATTAGCCGGAACTGAAAATGGCACTTCCGACCATACCAACAAGGTTCAGCTAAAATACTAAATATTATAATTGCAACATTGGCTGCATAGAACACATACATACAAACTATTTCTAAATGTAACTTCAAAAATTTTCACATTTTCTAAACAAAATGCTGATTTTATTCCAATCCAACATAACAGAATCGAATAATGACCAGAATTACCTGCCCAATGGAAGCAGCTGCAAATGGTTTTTCCTCAAAATGAGCAAGCTTGTCTTGCCAATCCTTCCCAAGTTCTTGAACAAGTACTTGCTGGAAAATCACACAATATTTAGAATCAATTTTCAATTAGGTAGAATGTCTGGATTCATATATTTGTTATAAAGATAAGTTTCAAAATAAAAAATTTCAAATCTTTGACCCTGTAATGATATATTTGAAAGATATTTCACTTCTCAATCAATACTTCGAATACTCCAGTTTCCAACACATCCAAATTTACTCACAGTATTTAAATATACCTGAATTTCACTTAAATCTGGCATTATCATAAACAATACATATGATCCTTTCATTTTAAATATACAGAAACTAACCTTCATTTGTGATGCTGGCATGAAATCTGCACTCTGTCGTACCCTTTCAAATACTTCAAGTAATCTTGGATCAACGATACTTTCATCTATATAACGAATGGTACAACCGTAGAACTACAAGTTTAACCTAACACAAGCAAAGCTGTCGAGTATTTTTACATAATATTGGTCTATGGTTATTCTGGTAATCATTATTAAGTTCGTAGAGCATCAAACAGAAAAGTTGGCCTGGGCAGGTTGAAAACTACAACAGAAAACATTTTCAAAAGAGAATGCCAACATAGGGGTTGAATGCTATTAATGGCTTGGCGGTGCGGCACATAGTGCTAAGCGTCAGGAATATGCTCGCCATTGCTCCTCTTATTATCCTGTGTGGGTTAGCAAGTTTGAATCCCATGCGAGGATGGTTATGTGCAACAGGGCTGCTGGGATCCTTGCCACTGTAGGATGGTTCACGACTTCACGTAACCGCTGGTCAGTTGCTTCCGAAAACTGGCCAACTAATTCCATATCCTACATGGACTGGTAACCGGGCGAGAGGCTGTGGTTCACCATGTGATTAAGCCATCCTATCGTTTTTGCTCTCCCCCTGAATATGTAAATCCTATCCTATGTATTGCATGCGAAAAATGATGACATGTTATACTGATTAAAATGTTTCTTTACCTTGAATGCTAAGCATTTGTCCAAGTTTAAGAGCAGCACCACGAACTCTGCAAAGAGTGTTTACAATTCTTTCCAAATTTGCATCACTCATCAAAGAACTTGTCTTCAGTAGACTGTCAGAAGAATTTTTGTCAACTAAAAATAATGAAAACCAAAGTTTAATAAACTGAATACTTATATTATTAAAGCTTACCAAATAGGTATTACAGATTCTTCTGCCTATATTCACTAGTGCCATTTTTAAATGACATGAAGCAAACCATTCAGTTATCAAAGTCACCACAATCAGTAAAACAAGGTAAATATATCGTCTATTGATGGTATGCAGGAAATTTCAAATATTGAATCAGGTCATAAATATCTTCAAGATGACATTCAGGATGGCACACTAAGAGTTTAGGATCATTCTCTCACGCTTAATTCTTTATAATTGTTTTCATAATATTTTCAACCCAAACCCTTCATTTCAATAAGAAAGAAATAGAAAGACCAAGGTATCATAGCTTATTTGAAAAAAGTAACTGTAAATAAAAGCGCATTAAGTTGACTATTAATTAGGAATAGGCCTGATCAAGGATCTATCCATCCTTTCTATTTATCATTAGGAAACTGAAAATAGTAAAGAGTGATCAAATGACATAAATGAATGTTCGATTTAAATCATCTTTGAATCATGGCGGCGAAAACATCAAAAATGAACCAAACACAGTTCTATAGGTATCTAATGAGTAAACATTCTTCTGGTTAGTATATATCATCTCTTTCAATTCATCCTAATTATCTTAAGCATTTCACACTTCATTATAAACATGCAATTTTGCTCCCAGTTTTAAAAATACTTAATGACTTGAACATGATGAGTGTTGACAAAGCAAGTTAGAAAGGCTTAAGCCAAATCTATTAAATCTGTTCTTGGCATTTTAAATTACACAGCGGTACTTTATCTTAAAATAATTTGTCTCACTTTTTCCAGATTCAACAACACCTAGTGTCTTTTTTGCTAGCTCTGACACTGTCCCAACCATCAAACCAGCCGCAAGACCTGTATAACAATGTTTCGTTGAAAATAGAAAGAGTAAAAATTGATGAGGACAAAGGTCTCGAAGGTATCACAAATTTGATGAGGATTAAAATGCTAGCTGGCACTTTCAAAGTCAGCAAGACTAGTTAGTCAGCTCATTTCATCTAGCAGTTATATTTGTGTTTAAGTGAAATACTCATTGCTGAATAAGTCAAATATGATTCAAAAAAACAGCCACTACTTGATACACCCTAAAAATATAAATTTGTAAAACGATTTTTCATTCATATTCACCACCAAATGAAGCTACTCTGCCAATCCTAGTTGCTGGCACACGCGTTTCTCTTGACCGACTACTGAGTTGTTGTTTAAAGTAGGCTTCATTTCCAGTAACATTTGCTTTATGCTTTGGAATATCATCAAATGTCTTATTTTTAGCTACAGTAGCAACTTTTGCCAGGTCCTCAGGTGTTATTGCATAGTTTAAAATAGCATGTGAGTGAAACTGTTTATAAGGTTGGAATAAGTTTGAAGATGATGCAAATAGTCTGTGTGAATATTTTCTTCTGCATAACGAAGATGTACTATAGTCTCGTTTTTGATTGACAGTTCCGGTAATATTATTAGACTTCACAGAAATTGGATCGTATGATTCGTTTTCAACCTCTTGCTGACACTTTTCTGATCGGTCAATTGAAGAATCAGCTGTTTCGGTCATGTTATCATCCTGAAAAGAAATTGAATATAAAAATGTGACCTGACTTGATATATGATAAATATTGCTGGTTACTTCCAAATTTTATTAGTCTGGTCTAAAACACAGCTTTTGACTATTCATTCACTTTTAAATTAGCCGACCATTTTAAATGAATCAGTAAACTTTCTTATAAAGTCCATCAATGGTTAGAAACTTAATCTAGATTGAATGGATTAAATCTCCAGCTAGAAACAGTTCAGACCATATGTAAATGTATTCTGAAGATCACCATCGTGCGAAAACCACCAGCGTGACCAGAAAAAAAGAGGCTGTTGTGCAACTATTAAAATAGGATGAGCAGTGTCTCCCTCCTCTTCATCTTCATCATATAGGCTATATGTAATCTCATCCAATCCAGAATGTAATTTTTACTGTTTCTGCGTTTTGATGAACTAGCCTACGCATGCTGAAGACCTTATTAGATAAATGTTTTAATACACACAAATCACGAATAAAGAACTCAAGTAAGCAGATTCTAAAAATTGCGGTTTTGTAATGAAAACTCTCGAATGCTGCTGTAAATTTTTTTTTTTACAGTAAATCCAACTACCCAATGGTAAAGTTTTTAGATTGCGCTTCCTCCTAGTTCAATGCACAGTGCCGGTTTGCCGATATGAATGCCCAGACTGGCTTGTAAAGAAGGGGTTTGCATTCAATGTTATAATTGATATCTTTGATTCTGGAGGCTATTCTTGGAATCAGGAAACTGTGCCATACTGAACTAGGCAAAGAAACATCAACGTAAGTAAATGAGACCTGGGCCAGAAATAAACACATAAATCTGTAAATGTATTGAACTTTCGGTTTGTTGTACTACTAATAAAACACTTAATACAGCAATAATCACCTACTTCCTTTAATTTCCCTGGAACCAAGTTGAAATATGAATGCAAGGTTGTTGTTGCTTTGACATATACCTACAGAACTAGCTGTCTATACAGCTATAGTACAGTAAAATATGAATCACGTTCGATCTATTTACAACACCAATATTGTCTCTTAGAATCATTGAATTATGATAGAAATGAAATAATCCTATAGCCCATGATTAGAATAATATCTTCCAGATTAAGCAATGAGTTGACGAGAATGTTTTTATCACTTACCATAATGTGCTTACAGTTTTACCGAGTAATATTGATAAGTTTTAAAGTAGGCTAAATCAGCCATAGGATATTTCAATACTGCAATACCTATGACTGTATGAACTAACCTGGTAAAATCTATGGAAAATTGATTGCATCATCCCACTGTTGTTGCAGAAATGCTCCCACTTAGAGCAAGCCAATCTCAGTTGAGCTTTCTTTATCTTCAATATTCCTTGACCAATCCAAACTAAATCTGACATACGCTGAATTACCATGTTGAGCACAACATACACCCACAAGAATCTACAGACTTAACTCTAATAATGTTCAATCTAAGTCACCTTTGGCTTTAGGAAACTATAGCAGAAAATAACAAAATTGGAGATGAAGAATCGCAGAAAATTCTCACACATACCGGTAAAATGTCCCCACTCTTTTTCGTTAAAAAGTTTATATTCTAATTATTTTTACGATAGCAAACAAAGTTGAACAATTAGCAAATAGAATAATAATCAAGATTGATTATCTCAATAATCAATGAATTGTCAAAATATAGTAAACACGCTAAAACGACTGTAACAGTGCCAGGATAAATAATGATAATACCTTTATTTTGATTTCCCCAAAAAACATGCACAGAGCAAATAATGAACACACAAAACCTAAACACACAGAATGGGAAAACAGGCAAAACCTCTAGTAGGGTTTAAAACACGTAGAAATACATGTGCCTGTTTACCCATATTACACGCACAAACATAGGCCTATTATGAAAAAGATAAAAAACGAACGTGTTACCGTACCGTTCGGGCGTCTAACTTGTGTAACAAACGGTTCCATTACATTTGAACCCACGACAATTGCACATGCATACTATTGCACCTATGGAAATTTTATTTGTTTTACGGATATTTAATACTAACCCTGTGCCTGAACCATGGGTTTTAGCACCCGCTTATAGATTGGACCCGCGGATATACCTGTATACACAATTACACGGCGCGGCGGTGTGGCTCAACGGGCTAAGCGTTAGGAATACGCTCGCCACCGCACCTCTAATTACTCTGCGTGGGTTCGCAGGTTCGAATCCCATGCAGGGATGGTTATGTGCGAGAGGATTGCTGGACTCCTCGCTGTCGTTGGGTGGTTCACGTAACCGCTGGTCGGTTACGGCTTCCTCCACCACCAAGTCCATGCTTCCGGAGACAAACAATATAACTAATCCCATACCCGACTTGGAATGGTAACCGGACGAGAGGCCGTGGTTCGCCATATGGATAAGCCGTCTTATCGGATTTCCTCTCTCCCGGGATAAATATGTAAATCCTATCCTACACATGGGTTCAAAAGTACGGTCACCGTAACAAACAAACTGCAGGGTTCCAATTTAAAACTTTTGTGCGAAACGTCCTGATTTCTGGGTACAATCATACACAAACAGAAGTTCGAGCGTAGACAAAATTATATAATTTACCCTATTTCTATAGGAATAATTAGAAAAAGCATGGGTTCCGTTTTTATTGGGTCACCCAGTGACGTTTTTTACTGTCATTGGGTCACCTAAATATCCTAAATTAAAGACGCGTAGATGCTGTTTCAAATTACAGTTTTTACTATGTTTTACTATTTAATTAATATGTAAATCCTATAATAGAATTCCATGCGCGTTTAGGAGTTGTTCAAAAATGACTGAATTTCCGCATTGCTTCGTTTTTTTTTGGACCAAGGGTGTGCAACCTGTGGCTCGCGGGCCGAATGCGACTCACAAGTAAAATTTGTGCGGCCGGCATAGAATTACTAACTTTCAGTGGTTTGAGGCTCGCGAAGCGAGTTTTTAATTTAGTTTAATCCTAGTATATATTTACGGTTTAATCTGGCACGTGCGGGTGATCTAGCACGTGGGTGCAAATGTTCGTGGGTGCAAATGTACAATGGTGCAAATATTCGTAGGGCAAATGTCCACGGGTGCAAATGTGCGCTGGTGCAATCTACATGCGAGGGCTAAAATCGATAGGTGGAAATCAACGACTAACAGATGGAAATGTATGGATGCAAATGTCGGTGGGTGCAAAAGTATGCAGGTGCAAATGTTCTGGGTGCAGTTTACGGGTGCAAAATACGTGGGTACAAAATGTGCTTTCACCGTGTATAAAAATCGTGGAAAGTTTAGAGTCTAAACTTTAGACGACCGAAATGAATTTCTCGGGTCTACAGTTTTTAGCCTGTCGCATTTGTGTCGTTTTCGCTGTCCAGAATTCTCCATTTTTTTGTGCGTGTATTGTGAAATTTTCAAACTGAGAGAAAGGACAAAATGAACATTACTGTGCTGTATCAGTGTAGGCCTACTAAGTTTCAAAAATATTGAAAATTGAATTTTATATTTCCACCCTTTCATGACATTCAAATCAGGCGAATTAGGGCATACTGTATCAGATGGACCTTTCCCCGACCTTTGGCCCCCGAAAATTTCTTCCTATACTTTACTATTGCAAAATTTTCGGGGCTATTTTAAGAGTGATTTTGCGAGTTGGTGCCTGTATGGAGTGTGTGTTTCAAACCATTTTTATGATTCATTGCATACAACAATCTGTTTTTAAAAAGTACCGGTAAAGAATTTTAGCCTATAGTCTATCACAGGTATTTCTAAACTAATTTTTTATTGCTGCAATTAAATTAAAACTCCTAGGAAGATAGAGTGATCATTGAATTATCTGATTTATATTTAAGTTTCCGAAACACAACAGAAAACTAACGAATAGAGTTCAAAAACGCGAAAACGACCACGCTTGAAAATCTTTCTGAGTGAGGAAAGTGTCTGAGCGGAAGTGAAAAGGGAGCATTGTTATGTCACTTTTTGCATCTCGCTGATTGGCCAATGTTACGAAGTAAACAAGGAAGTCGATGCTCGGGGAAAGGTTAATTGAAACGATTATTATCAGTTTAAGTGTTTTACAAGTGTAACAGCCCAAAAGTTTAATACATTCGCGTATTTTTGTTTGTTTATTTCTGGCCCAAGCCTCGTTTAACTAGGTTTGTGTTTTTGTAAATTTTTTGTGTGTGTGCTGATGAGCGGACTTGTGATATTTCTGGTGTTTTAAACTTTTTGAAAGATTTTGTTCGCTTTTCAGAATTTCCCATTTTTAATTTATGTGTAATATGGAGTTAAAAAAAAACTATCTGTCTAAATATCTTTTTCTGCAAAACACTCTCAATAATAGCGTTGAAGAAAATTGTTCTGTGGGAAGGGTCGGAGAAAAATATCCATAAAAAACAGCCCTGTCTCCGATTAAATGACGGGTGTGACGCCATAGAAAAGTTTATAAAGTTACCAATGCATGACCTCGCTTGCAGACGTGGGTTATATTCGCTTTGGTTTGAACGAGTGAAACGGTGCAAATATTTTCCTTGAGCTAGATAAGTGTAAAAAATATTGAGCGCGTTAGCAAAGCATTTTTACATTGAGTTTCGTTACGATTTCACATCACCAGTTTGGTGAAGTTAGTGACGTTTTAGTAGGCTGTTTACAATTCGCAAAATCGAAAGTAAGGCTAAGATAGATTTGAAATTCACACAAGTACAATGAATAGGCAGTCATGGGATAGCCTAATTTAGTTTTGTTTGACAGTTAGATAAATATTGAAGTGTAAATTATCGGAATAATATCATTTTAACATGAAGCGACAGTGCTGCTGCGACACACGTCACTCGCACGTTAGTCGCTTTAGTTAGACAGAATGCCGACACCGTGCATTTGGTCAAACAGGCTGTCCTGTAGGTCTCAGATGTCGTGTAATATAGTGCCACAAGCACTTCTAGTGAGCATGACCTAACAAATATGTCATTCCCGATCCCACCTGAGTACGTCATCCAAAAATTACGTCACGGTGACGTCACAATCACTAAATGGAGCTTTCCTGTGACAACGAACGCCTGCGATATCTCTCGTTTCCGGACCGTTGAGCTAAAAAATAATTATGAACGGCAAGAGGAAATCAAATTTGATCGATGAACGTTCACGCTAGTATCATCATAGCAACAGCGTGATTTATGGAAATACTTTTATAAATTCACGAGTTTACAAGACCCTAGCCTAGACGTACTGTTTGAATGACGCAGTTAGGTGGGCCGGGAATGACATGAGTTGTAACAATTGTTAGGCCACACTTTCTCGTAGTACTTGTGGTACAATATACACGTGACCCAAGTTCTCGGTCGCAACTATAGGGAGAGATAGGAAAATTCGTAGTTACGTGAATTGCTTGTTCTATTCTGAGATATTCCTTGCTATTTCTAAATCTGGGGTCTTGAGCGTTGAGATATTAGAAACCGGAGTATATGCCTTGTTATTATGTCTACGAAGTTTATAAACATAATTTCTTTTGTTATGATAATTTCGTTCGTGTTGACAGAATTCTAATTGCATATGAGGAAGCTGTGGTCCAACCCTGTACCTATTTCGGATATTCAGTGAGAACCTGACTAACTTGCCGTCACACCCACAATCACCAGTCCTTTGTTCTTGAAATCACAAACTAACAGTTATCAATTTCAAATACATACCAGGCAACATCGACTCGTAAAAGTCCAATTCGATGCTAATATTTTTAATATGGTTAAAATGAAGTAATGAGTTTGTTGAAATGTAAACCATTATTTGTTGTTGGTTGACAATCTACTAAATATTTACGTTATAGATATGCCTGATGATTAACATGGTGTCATATCATAAATAAAACTTGAAACTTCTCCATGAATTGTATGCTTTTTGCTCCACCCCACAGTCCAGAGACCGATTATAGTTTTATAGCTTATAGCTACATATAAATGAGTATGACTCAGATGTATTTTGTTCATATCCGTTCGGTAGTACGTATACTTCCCCCCCCCCCACACACACACACACACACCACAAAGACATGGTTATTAGGAAATTTCGTTCGAGTCCGTTAGTGAATTCTGAATAATTATAAAAACTCTCGCTGCTTTCGACAACAGCTATGCGAATATACTGAAGTGGTTTCTGTTGAGGATCCCGATCTCTGTATTGTTGCCTAAACTTAATTAGATGTTTTTTTTAGCTCGATTGGATTATTGCCGACTTTGAAGTGTGTGAACTGTGAAGTATCTGTCGTGTTATAGTTACACCCGTACTTTAAGGTGTCGATGATGTTGAAGACAATTGTTAGGCCTTTGGGACAGATTTTAGTAGAGTTTGTAAAATTTCTTGCGGAAGTTTAAAATTATGGAAATGAACTATTTTTACTCTTTAAATGGCTGTTTGATTGGAACAATACTTGAGATAGGTGCTCTTACTTTAATGAATTTACATTCTCTTAATTAGGGCTGGGACCAGTTAATTGATTGACCCATTTTCATTGATACCATCCAATCATTTTTTGTATTAACCGTTGTATATGTCTGAACCATTTCACCCGTGAATTAGTTGGCTCAGGCATACCGCACTTGGTACATTACAACACTCACAATAGGATGAAGTTATTTTGAATTTTATTTGTGATGATCTCATACCTTGAGTTATTCCAGCTGATAAAGGTAGTTTCACGACTTGGCATTGAAAAAATATTAAATCATATTACTTAGTTGTTGTCTGGTATGGCTAATACTATATTGATCTTACAATAATATTCCTTGCGCGCATTTGCAACGTAGACGACCGCAATCCGGATGTTCCTTCTGACTAATAACGCTCGGGTCGTAGCATATAGTGGTATATAAAGAGGTATTCAAGGCGTCATATTATTATTTTGTTTTATTTTTTCTGTACGTAGGAGATATGAAATTACTACCTCGTTTAATAGCATTTTCAACGGTGTACCTATCAGCCTATATGTTCATATTGTTTTGGAGAAGCCGTTTTTTGCACGGAAGGTAAGAATGATTTTTAGTTAAAAAGTCAGACTTTCAAGTTAACGATCAAATTGTCAATCAGTTTTCAACAGAGTGAAGTATTGTATGTAAGTGAATTACAATTTGTTGCATCACCTAATAATCAACAAAAACTTTACCGGCTTAGCTGAATGCGCAGATAACCTAACTAAATAATATTTGCCTACTATTCAAATTGTCTCGTATTTTAATGATTTGAGTGATTTTTTACTCTAAATTATTTGAACGACGAATTTATGGGTGATCGGTTATTGAATGGTTGCGCTTAAGGCAACATTATCAAATAACTTTAATTTATCAAAACAGCGTGGTTTATAATTTGATCTGCATTTCCCGGAATAAGAGCTGGTAAACCGAATCATTCTAAACATACATCCTCGCCAGAGCACGCCTGGCTATATTTGTTTGAGCAGCCGCGTTATCTATTGTTGTAAGAAGAACTGCTGAAGTGCCCGGTGTTTCTTTATTCTGGGGTTGTGAAAGCAAACCGTTTGAACGATAACCGGCTTATTGAAGATTACGTGTTTATACTGCGATATATCTAATTTAATGTTTGTTATGGCGAATTTTTCGTTCATAAATAATTAATCAATGCTCATACTCACTTGAGTCTGCTATTTTATATGGATTCAAACACGACTACATACAGAAATAAACGCTTTAATAGCTTTTTAAGAATCGACCTTCTATAAAACAATAAAAAATTTTATTACATTTTTTGTGACTTTTTTTTAAAGAAAATTCACGCACACTTAAAACCGAGAGAGACTGACCTTTAATCGAAGTTATGAGCCTCCACCAAAATACCAAGGTCTTTTTATGTTGTAAACAGTAGTTCAAACTAATATTACAACTTAATTTTAAATTAGACTTGTTTTTATTTCCGCAGCGTCGACGAGTTTTTACATTTAAAAATGATGAACAAATTAACCAAACGAAGACAACTTTTTTCGTTTTTGATGAGACCTATGAAAATCAAAGTTGAAACACCAAGATCGAATTTATTAAATTTGACTGATCCAGGTAGAGTAGAAGCTTTATTATTAAATAAGAAATGTCACGATCACTGGATCAAAGTCATAAGAGAGACTACTGATAAAATTGCAAGCGAGCGCACCAACGCCGTCGATTATTGAAATTGTACATAAAATTATTTTTGTACTCGAGGTTTACCTGTAGCAAACGATTTGCATATCATGCTGTTTGACCGAAGTTGTTATGAAAATTGCTTAAATATTTTTATATTAACCAAAGTCTAAGCACGGGCCATAGTGCTTAATATCGTTAAATCATGCTTGGGATAATATTCTCTGCTCGATTCCCACTCGACCAAATTTGAGTGGGAATGAAACATCATTCATGTCGTTTACAACACACAACAGCACAACATGAAGTACAAAAGCATTATCAAGCGCTTGGGCAGATTTTCTTTTTGTTTCAAGAAAGAAATTAGTATCATTTATATTTCAGTTTCTCTATTATTCGCAAGGAAGCAAATCAAATCTTCGTATTCTAGAACTTTTTGAGTTATGACTACCTAAATTCATATAATACAGGTTTACGATGGTCGATGATTGTATTTGTTAAATCACATACCTCGCATCGATCTCGGCGAATGTTAGCCAGGATGTCATGGGCTTCATTCGAATACGTTGATGGAATTCGAATTGAAACTATATTTATAGTTGGTAAAGCTGAAAATCAAATAGAACAATCCCAACTCGAGGACGAAAACAAAAAATATGGAGATCTTCTACAAACCAATATAGAGGAAAAATACTCGTAAGTTTGTATTATGCGAATTGAAATGGACTAAACTACAACTGAGACACTCCGTAACAATTACGTCCTTGCGTATATATCGTTTAGGTTTCAAATATCCCATACAGCAATTGGCCTGGTAACCGGATTAATTTGTCTAGTCGTCTAGTCCAGTGAGTCCCAAACTTTTTTGACCATCGCCCCCCTACAGTAGCTTATACAACTTCATCGCCCCCCGGCACTACAAAAAAATGTAAAGTCAGAAACGAATATATTACAGACCAAAAAGGAAGTCAAATCATAGCTTATAATGTTTTTTAATGAGATGGATGAGCTTGATGTCTTTCAGCGAGTTTTTTATTATATCTAAAATTACCCCGTTTACAGATGGAAAGGCGATTTCGTTGTTTTGGTAGCAATAGTAGCACGGCTGAAAAACCCTTTTTCGCCATATAATAGGTAGGAAATGATGAATCCAGGGTTCTACCTCCTCAAAAACCGCCGTGTACTCTTGCCTTACAGCATTTCACTCCCCAAATTCACCCCATTTCACATTAAAATAATTAAAACAAACGTAATTTTCCCAAACTTATAATAATGATTTTCGTACATCTCATTCATTCCTACAGCCTGATGACCTGCACCAAAATACTTCGGTAAATATCATCCCCGATTCCTTATCCTACCATGGCCTCCAGTCCATAGAATTAATTAGCCTTTTGTTTTTGGATTCATGGACTCGGATGTGGAAGATGCCGTGACCAACTACTGTATCGTGAATCTCTCGAATAGAATATAAATTTTATTTCCTTATTGCATTGCATTATATATATTCGAATATTTACTGCGCTATTGAACCCCTGCCCTCAGCATCAACTTTTTTCGTGATTCCATTTGTCTAATTACAATTAATTAAATTGTAGGCTCGTTACACAAGTAGCTGTTCGATAGAATTTTCAGGATGTAATAAAACTTGGTCTAAACGTGTCTCACGATAAATTCTGTTACGTAAAAAATGTAATTTACTCCTCGAGCGTAGATTATGGGTAATATTAATTCATCGTCAAAATCGCCATTTGGATGTTTCTCCGGGCATAGACTTCCTTGTTTACTTCGTGACATTGGCCAATCCCTCTTTCGCATACGCTCAGACACACTCTCTCAGACAGACTTTCAGGCGTGGTCGTGAACATTACCCCATTTTCGCGTTTTTGAATTATATTCGTTAGTTTTTAGTTGTTTTTCGGAAATTTATATATAAATCAAATAAGTCAATGATTACTTTGTCTTCCTATGAGTTCCAGTTTAAATACAGTAATCAAAATTTATTGTAGAAATAGCTGTGATAGACTAGGCTAAACTTCTTCATCGGTATTTTTTAAAAACAGATTGTTGGATGGTATGAATTAGAATGATAGTTTGAAACAAATTACCCCATTTTACAGGCAGCAACTCGCGAAACCACTCTTAAAATAAGCACCGAAAATTTTAAAATAGTGAAGTATAGGAAGAATTTTCCGCAGTCAAAGGTCGGGGTAAGGTCCATTCAGTGAATCGTTCCGGGCCAGATTATTTTACTTCAGCTGTATTTTGCCGACCACTGGGATACGCAAACTACTGCGAAGACCAGTCAAGCAATCCCTTTGCGTGTGATAATCGCCCACGTGATTCAACCCTGCGAATTCACACGGAGTACAGAATAAGTGCACGATGCGCCGAACAAAAACAGGTTTCGCGAAATCGCCCCCCTATCGCCCCTTCGACTTTTTCGCCCCCCTCTGTATCGTTTTCGCCCACCGGAGGGCGATATCGCCCACTTTGGGAATCACTGGTCTAGTCGACGTTCCCGATCCTGATGAAGATCTAATTTCTATTCCTCCTTTATTGTTCTCTCACATTTTGTTGACATTTTTTACATTCTGACTATATACCCCACAAAGTATAATTTGACTAGTTCAAATTATTGCTGGAAGCGGATACAATACTTACTCATTCGACTCACTGTATTGACGGAACTTTGTTTGTGGCACGTTCTTATCTATACTTCCAACCGATTTGCGTGCAATTCCTGTTCAACTTCTACCAATATCAATATTCATCTCACTTTGAGCAGTTGAAAATCAACTTTTGGAATTCGATTTGTTGCCAATAGAATTCGTGGATTGAATAATTTTTTAAGCATGATAATTTAAATCAATACTGTGAATTGTCCATTTGGTGACAAAAACTTGTGCCCAGTTCCAGTAAGGTCACAATATACAGGGATGGCGAACTTTTATTTAAATAAATGGCACAATATACATTTTTATTATGAAAAAGAACACTGTGGGTCACAGATATTAAATCAACGAACAAAAAAATGCTTTTGTTTCTTTTCCGCAAATCCGAAAACACGAATTCGCATGTAAGCTATATGAATTACCGATAAACCTTTATAATGCAACTGCAGAATTAGGCTTGTACGTAATTGACAAAAATCGATTCCGTAATTACGGCCAAATCGATCACGTAATGACCTGTAACTGCGATATTTTCCCACACATTTAAACCTATCATAACAACCTATTGAATCCACTTCTTTTCCGAATAGTACATCGAATTTTTGTTTTCATATTCCTGGCAGTACTACACGCCGGCGACAGATGTTAATGACAAAAATATCAAGGAGTGAATTAAAATTAATTTTATTCTGATTTTTATCTTTTGTGTTAGCTCTGATTTTCCTTTATCACATCCGCAAATTAACAGCCCTATTTTTATGCGATCAATTTTATCATTGGTATACTGGTATACGGATATTTATGAAACGATAGTTAACTTTTTTTAAATCGACTTTCGGGATTCTAATTTATTGATCAATGACGAGCTTATTATCTCGTTTGATTATACTTGCGCTTGCCTGGCGACGAAGACTTGTTATTGCACCGTTTTTTACATTATTCGACTTTACTATCTATTTAGCATTTTGTAATAATTAATGATGCCGACTTATTGACGATATTCCGATTACCATGCTTCATTTTACATTTAATTATTTCGCGGCCCAAATGTTATAACATTATTTGCGATAAATTTAGATCAAATGTTAATTATTTGCGCATAATTTAAATACGTCTTTATAGGACATGCCTTCTCCGAAAATTCAAAGCTATATTGCAAAATAATGCATTTTGTGACATTTATCTTGCAAAAATAACCTATTTTTCTAACTCAAGTCGACGATCCTATCGGCCAAGATTGACACAAGTTTGGTCAAGTGCCGGTGGTATTCGAGTCGGATAAGTTGCCGCATTTGGTAAAGACAGTCAATCATATTTGGCCGAAATATTGCGGGGCATTGTGAAAAACATATTGAGATAGGCCAAGTCCGGACCGGTAACAGAACATCAAGATTTTGTTATAGAAAATGGATCTCGCACAGAATAAACACACTGGCTCATATTTGATAGTAGTTAAATTGAGAATATTGATCTGTTAAGACAAAAAGATGATCGTCAAAATTCTTGAATCCCGTTGCCTTGGTTAAATATAATCCAATGATCAGGACATTTCCAATAAAATACTGTACAAAGATAGTTATACATTTAGTTTTCTAGAACACGGGCTCCCAACCGCTGATCCGCGGACCGGCACCGGTCCGCAAAGGATTTTTACCAGTCCGCGGGAAAATCCCGTCATTTTGTTATTCCTCTGCCGTCTCAATCGCTTTACCGATGCCGAAAAGACGAAGTAGCGTTGGTTCAGTACATTACGCAATTTCTTTTTCTTCGTCATATTGCTGTTCGATAAGCGCGACATTAATTATCACGGCGACGTATTGGCAAGAGAGAGAAAAGGGCGGAAAACGGCTGCGAATACCGAAACTCCTAATTCTTCTATTTATTAAACTTTCATGTTTTACAATTGACGGAATTGACTGCTTTGAAGAGAGCTCGATTCAATCGCGAAAGCGCTCGACCAATAATTACGACTTTACGTAATTCGTAACTTCCCTTCCGTTACTCGAAATAATTCCGTAAATCCGTAAATTACGTACAACCCCATGCAGAATCTTTTATTGGTTCCAAAAGGTTTGAAAGGAAATACACTTTGAATAAATTATATATTCGATCTACTTTCAGCCGCATTAAAGTCTCTACCATCCTGCTCCCTCGTTATTTGAGATTTCTGTAGTCGTTAATTTGATAGGTTCGTAAAACTTTGTACCATTGGTTCTCGCATACGCGCCACATTCCCCTTTGATTCAGATACATCAGAAAGGGAATCGCTGTATGAAAACCGGGGAATAAACAGACCTATAACAGCATCGGTGTCAGTAGCTACAAAACGGTATATGCTATGGTAGTTCGCTAATTGAATTTGTGCAATTTTATCACCATAATGTTAGTAGGCTATGTTTTTAGAATATTTCGTGGGTCACCGAAAAAACTAAGTACCGTAGGTCACTTTATTACCCGCGGGTCGGTGGTTCGCCATCCCCGGTATACAACACTTCAGAATCTGTCGATATTCACCGAAGGAACCATCGAAGCTGTTGTTTCGTGGGTTATTCACATGGTTGGTGCTTGTCTGATGTAACTGCGATTTTGGCTATTTATAGCATTGAAAAGCATCGTTGGAATTCACTAATTATCATTTTTACTTTTATTTTCTAGAAACGTTGGGCTCAAGACATTAGCCGGAATGCAATACGCTGCATCTCATTTCCCACCCGATTGGATGTACGTCACTGCTGATGACGATATTATGCCGGATTTAAAACATTTCTTAAACGAACTCGATGAAATGCGGAAATCTAACAAGAATATTGGGAAAGCAGGCGGGGAATGCGACTCGAAAATCGTATGTGGACTTGGTTGTGTCGTTAGTGCTACACCTAAGCGACTAAAAGACAGCAAATGGTATATTAATGAAGAAGACTACCCTATCATTATATACCCAGCATATTGCATGGGCGGTCTTTACGGGATGTCTGTAAAGTTGGTAAAAGATTTGTACCGCATTTCTAGGACGTTGCCATTTTTCTGGATAGATGACGTATGGATTACCGGATTTCTCCGATTACGTCATTTTATTACTGTGAAATCAGAATGTCGGACGCCGGGTGCAGAAATGGGATTGTGGTCAACTTCGGCTGACGTTTTGTCAGTAACGGGAACCGAAGACATTTTAATTCAAGAGTGGACAAAATATGTAGCAAAAATTCACGAAAAACAGTTTATTCACGTCAATGATCATAATGGACATGATAGCGAAAGCCCCCTACCATTCGAATTTAAAGCTTGGTTGGAATATGTATTTCACGAAACACCACAGAAAATTTAATCAAAATTAACAAACGAGCTTTCAAATCGTTCGAAACCATCACTTACTACATAGGTCAAAAAATTGGGGTTCCGCCCACTTCGTTGATTATCACCATAAAGTCTGCACCGAATATTTTTTGCTCTTACAATACTAAACCGAATTAAATATCTTCAAATGCTATTTTTCCGGCTTCGACAAGCATTTCCCGTGTGTTGAATTGCTGCTTTCCCGTACACGATTGTTTCAGCCATCAGAATAAAAGATAGCAATATCAAGTTTCAAGCATATGGACTGGATATAATTGCTTATGCATATCGTATTGCATATTATTTTAGATAGGCAACTTCGTTATGTTTTCATGTATATTTCTGTAGGCCATTATTAAACCGATTCAACGATCGCTAGACCAAGCGAAGAATATAAGATATGATTTATCTATAAACAAATTCCCTTGGTCCACGAATTTTCAAAATGATTCGTTCTGTTACAGTGATTCCATTGTGATCTTCTATATTTTGCAATAGTTTACAATTCTTGCCAGTAAAGGTCTCGATTGTGTGTTTGATGATTTGGTTTGTTACTTGTTTTCTTTTATTATTCTTACCGGTACTTATTTTGACTCATTCTATTTATTTATTACTGAGCGCCTCGCGCACGTAATACCAGAAGAATTTCCTGTTATCGCCCACGATAGATCGTATTATGCAATTTATCCTCCAGATCAGAAAATGATTGTCATATAGTAGGAAGCATTACTATTATGGTATCATCTTTGAACCATAGTTGTCAGTGCTCAACTTCAGACTTGATACTGAGATGATATTCGTTACCTAATTTGAAACGTTTTAAATAGGCTTACGCATAATGAGTAAACTATTTAGTCGCTTTGTTCATAGTATTGATGTACCTGCGATTGAATGAAAAAAACAATTTCATGATTGACAATGACGTACGCTTTCATTCTGTGCGCTAGTATTATTTTTCATATAAACGAATTCTTAGGAAATTCTTCTTCTTTACTATTTGAATTCTTAATATTGCGAACAAGGTTTTGGAATTAAGATTAAGAAGTGCCTTTTAAAGTTAAATTGGCTTTTGAATAAAAATTTATTCTACGCATACAAACATCCAGTCATTGCACCCTTTGAAAAATTTTACAAACTTCGCGCCCCCCCTCTTTTTGCTTTGAAAAAATGCTTTTGTGATGGCACTATAAGAGTGTTGGTCTCATAGCGTCATTGCTCAGATTGTTTAGGCATAAAACGCTTCGGAGTACAACTTCGCCATTCACTGTCGTATGTATAAAGCCACATAATGGTTGGTCATCATGCATTCCCGTTTTTGCAATACCTGGTAAACTGAAATTAATTTGTAGGTAAAACTAAACACGCAATAAACCTAGATGCTTTAATGTATTTTCTGCTTAAACGTTTAAATAGGGCACGTAAAATTTCAATCAATTGTTTACTTCATCACTATTGAGCGATGCCAAAATTATTTAGGGTTTCCCCGGCCCTTGACCGTTGAAAAATAAAGTCGCTAAGGCGTTTGCGATTGCATTTTGTTTAAATTTCGATTGTTTTCATAAGAGTGGCGTGCTATTTAGTCCGTAAAAATTTGATTTCGGTGTTTATTCTCTTTAACTTTTTTTGTTCTCGAATGGAACCATGACATCTCTGAGGAAAACGAGTTAGTTTTTATTATATAATCATCAGCGACGAGATGCAAAAGATAGAATAAAGTAGTGAATCTGCAACCAAATATTTCTTTATTGTAAAAGCGAGATTATAAAATACTAAAAACAAAACGGAAAACACCATGAGTTTTGTTTTGAGGTGGACCGCGACAGATTAAAAACACTTTCTCAGACATTACAAATGTTAAAAATTCCTTGTGCCTGCAGCACACCAGTAGTGTTCTAAAACTACTGACTTGAAATAAATTTTACTCCGTGGGATTTTATTGCAGACTAAGAAATTTCTGTAACGTGGTATAATTAATCGAGCATTGCGTTAGAGCGGAGTAAGAGTTACAGGGACAGCTCATAATGGTGAAATTGGCAAGAATACAAATCAAAACAAAATGTAATCGGTCACTTTGCCACACATTTTTATGGTTGTGGATCACCGTGGTATTTTGGAGTGGTGGTGCTTTTATTTTATCGACGCAGTCGCAGATTTAATTTATCACAATTAAATGAGTAAAACCATCCATTTTATATATCGGTCATGGATTGAATTTTTCATTCAACAGGAAAACCATTACATATCCGTTGACAAAGTCGGCTCTTATAACGACTGGCGTAATCTCGAGGACTGACTCAGGATGCGTACCGCGGGGATTTCGAGTCGATGAATATGTATTTTAATTGTACTAAATTGAATATGCTTTCTGGGATATCATACCAGATCTTTCTAATGAAGACAACTAATTCGCATGAGTGCAATGTATATCAAAACTAAATATAATCGGGCAGTTGATCGCACACTTTGTTTAATATGTCCGCGGATTGGCGTGGTATTTTAGATCGGTAGTGAGTTTATTTTGACATGAGTCGCCGTAACCGCGAGTTACCTTGAACTAGGCTTACCGTACGTCCCGATTTAGGCGGGACAGTCCCACTTTTCAACGTCTTGTCCCGGTTTCCCGACAGGTCAGCCAAATGTCCCGCTTTGGCGTTCAATCAGTCAGCATAATACAAGAACAATACCAATTAGAATGTTCTTGATACTGTTGTTGCCGTATAACGTACCGTTAGCCTTTTCACTGAGAGTGGGTGCGTGGTTTTGTTTGTTTCGTAGTTTTGTTAGCGGATAATTGCTACATTTTGTCACGTGTTAGCCCCGTACTCCGAAAGAGTGCTAACAATAAAGGGTTATAATTGTAGTCCCTCCATGTAAAATTTGAAGGTGCAAAATTCACAGGTATGGTCTTTGGAGGCGTCCCGCTTTGAGATCACAAAAATATGGTAACCCTACCTTGAACACAAATGAATTAAAATAGAGAGGCATTTTGAATTCTTGTAGTTATTACGAGACAAAAAAATTTATTGTACCACGATTGTACCGGTATTTTTAACGAACGCGGAGACCGTTCCAGGAGCCGTTACATGTAAATTTCCGATTCCATCTTGTGACCTCTCGCGCCCCCCCCTGTGAGCATCTCGCGCTCGGGGGGGGTCGTGCCCCCCAGTTTAAGAACCACTGTTCTAGAGGATTTTATTTAATACTACCGAATATTCGATAAAATAGAAGAAATTTCCACTCATTGTTAATACGTACTATAGATTTGTTTAGTCACATGAGATAGCAACTTCAATTTTTTTTTTAAATTTAAGGACTTGGTCTTTGTACTCATTCATTTCATATACGTTATTACCTTTCCCCGGTTGCCATGGAGTGAAATATCGCATTCACGTTATGATCTACAACAGGGGTGTGCAATCTTTTTTACAGGCGGGCAGAATACAAGTAGCTGTCTGAAGCCGCGGGTCGCACCAAGAAACTCTACCTACGAAAGTCTCTGGATACGAAAAATTTGTAGTTTTCGTTCGGTATTTATTTCATTCTTATTAGTTTTAACTGTTACGTATCATCGTCTTCTCAACCTAAACTGAGTGAGAGTTGTACCCGCGGGAAACAAACGGGCCAATGGGATGACATATATATATATTTGGTTGGCGTGTGGCAAGGCAGCTAGCGCGGACTTTAATTTTTATATTGCTCACGACACCATTTGTTTGTCGTGAAAAAATTGCCCTCAAGTTCGGTGACTATCGAAATGAATAGATGAAAACAATTATTTAGAACACAATTTGCTTTTAAATTTATTACCAAGGCCACACAAACTATCTCGACAAAATTGAAATATATATACGATAATAATTGTAAAATATTTTCAATCTAAAATATCCTCGACGTGTAATAACTAATAAGCACTTTAAATCGGCGATAATTGAAATCCTTTCATGTTTTCAAAATGTCTTAAATCAAAACGTTGACGGCGGCGCTAGAATATGTGCGCCATATTCGGTATTCTTACAAACACGAAAAGCAATATTCGAATAATAAATTCGAATCGGACATCCGTGCTTCAAGCACTGCATTAAATTAATTCAAAATAAACAAATGTCACCACACGCGTTTGTTGTTTTCAGCCTTTCATGTGTAAAAAATCTTACATTAGTCGGAAGCAATATTTTTACGATAAGAATTTTTGTAAGTTGATTTTTTCCTTTCCAGAGCCTTTCGTAGGGTTCTATTGTAGATGAAAGCGCAATTATTTTTGTTATCGATCTTACAGCATTATTCGGGGTCCTGGCAGAAATGTTGAGCTAAAACGCCAAAATTTCTAAGTAAAACTGCTATTTAAATTTATTGTCACACCGACTTTAAACGAATTCAGTGAGAAAGAAACAACGAGATTAAAATTGCTCGCACGTTCCAGATTAACGAAACTAAGAGCTTGCTTCGCGGGCAAATTCTTCGAAATTGGCACTTCTCCGCGGGCCGCACAATTTTTCCTTGCGGGCCGCAGTTTGCACACCCTGAGTTACAATACACGGATTCCAGCAAAAAATTCTGATTGTGTTCTTTTTGCCAAGACCATCTTGTATCCATGCGGAGTCGAGACGAAAATAACCACAACAGGTTGTGACTGACAATTCACGATAATTTTTACATTGCGGTTCGCTAAAACCCACGTTATGCGAGGTTAAGTAAAACTAAAAATCACTCAAATTAGACTTAAAGAGCTGTATTAAAAGAGTTATTTGAAGGATGATTAGATCCAATGCCTCCCGTTTACACTCAGCTACACATTCACACAACGCTCTGACTGACATACAGAGCCCGATCTCCATGGGTGCTTTCATCAATTGAGTTGTTCCGTGGGGGATGATTATGCGCAAGAAGATTGCTGAACTCTTCACCGCGCTGGTTGGTTCACGTAACCGCTGGTCGTTCCAGCTTTCTCTACCGTCGAGTCCATGTGTCTGAAGTAAATGAACTGTCGAACCCAATCCCATACGGGCAACCTGTCTAGAGGCCGTAGTACCTCGTATTATTAAGCCGTATCATCGGCTCTTCTCTCCCCCGGTATAAATAACAAATTCCTACCCGGTCTCTTGATTCAAATGCACTTTTAAGAGATGGTTTGTTTACCACGCAGCGCATGATACTAATTAAAATACCGGTACCTAACTGTAACATTTTTCATAAAGAATTCCACACATTTTCTCGCGCACAACTAAAAATGAAACAAACACTACTATCCATCCATTCTTTTTTACTTCCAACATCAAAACGAGCAAGTACCAGAAATCAAGGAAACGACATTCAAGAATACTACAAGTGCACTATCTAGTAATAAACAATATTGCAATTTATGAACGGCAGACATATCATGACAGAATATAACATGTTTATCGGAAGCTGAAACACCTTGGTAAATAGTATGATGGCAGCATCTACTTGTGATACATTGAAATGTCATTGGAACAGAAAAATTTTGTATAATCCTAAAGGCACTACTTTTATGGCCATTCTAAAATTGATCTACAACAAGTGTGGAACAAAATTGTAACTTAGGTCAAATATATGAACAAAATTTGATAATCGGTTTTGTACGGGTAAGGGTACAATTCGCCTTTTTCCAAATTTAATCATGAAAACTGATTTAAGCTAAAATAAATGTGGGTTGTTCACCTTAAAATCATAAATTTCTTCAAATAAATTATTTTTCATTTCAGTATTCGCCCTTTTGCCTTCAGACCCTCGACATTTTGGATCATGTTTAGTTGTATGTATATACATATTCTATTCTGGTTTTGGCAGAACTTGAAACAGAGGTGTGCAACATTTTTGCCGGTGAGCCATATAACCAACCTCAGACATCTATCCGGGCCAAACAAAAAAATTAGTTATTCCATGTGAAAAAGGTAAGATAAGAGAATGGGCTATTGCTCAGCCTCGCAGTAATGAAGACACCAGGCAAAACGACGAAAGATTTAACAAGGCGATAAGAGCAAAAAACAGTATGCATTTTTACCCACGTGAGCGACAGAAACTGTCGGATTCGGATTTTATGCTTGATGTGAATAGATCTGTATGTTGACAAGGGCCGCACTAAATGGCTTGGGGGATGGGGGCCCGCCGGCCGCGTGTTGCACATCTCTGATTTACATCTAAGAAAAACGAAGACATTAAACAGTGATTATTATGATGGAACAACATTCGGTCATTTATATATGATAACAATAAGTTACTATATAATATGATAACAAGTTACTCCCAACTGACGCACTAACTGCCAACTACCTATCACTGTTATTTATGATAATTCATACAAAAATTACATCATCATTTATGCGGAGAAATCCAAAGATGTAACATGCGTTGTCAAAAAATTGGCTGGATTTAGGTTATGTCGGTAAGTATTTTAAAATTGTGCATTTAATGATTTCCTGAGCAAATAAAGCATTGTGGGCAATACTTGATGAGAACCAAAACCCCGCAATATGGCCACAATGTGTATCGAAACAAGTTGACGAAAAGTCTGGGTATGATATTGATTCCCACTAGCTGGGCAACATTATTTCTTAATTTGAGGCTAAGCCACTGTGATTTGTGCCAAGCAGCCAAATTCATCAATGGCACATGCTTAATTTTTGAGTTTATAGTGTTTAATTACTATGCCTTAATTTATAAGGATAAATAAATAATAAAAAAAAATTACAGTGTAAATAAGTATTATTTCTCTACATATGTACGTGTACTTGGTGAAAAATAGAAATATTACTTTGCGAAATTTATAGAATTAAGTTAAGTTTACATCTTGATTTTATCGATTTTCTTTCGATATTTCAGAGTTTAAGTTTGGTCTTTTATCAACTAATATAATATCACAGTGACGACATGTAACAATGTGAGTCTGCTCTGGAATGGATGCAGAAACAAGACAAATCTCTGCTATAGCGAGACTCAAGGTTCAAAATAAATTCTATACTTTAAATTCCCGAAGACACTGTAGAAAAATTATGAGAATTTGCGAGGTACACAATTTTCAGTATTCATAAACGTTTTTTTCTGATTTTGTTTTTAAATCACCTTAGTAAAATCACAGTGAACTATTACATATCAATGCAGAATATTCAAAATAGGAGATTATTCGAATTTGAAAAGGGTATTTTGTGATAATTTTGACAACACTAATTACAAAAAAATTTTTACTCTCACAATGCAACTACTTAAGTTTTAAAATTAATTGTATATTTAAGAATCTCAGTCAATTTACCAAATCAGATGTCAAAATCACATATTTTGCAGATATAGCATTAAAAAATATCAGATTGAAGTCCTCCGTATGCATCAGAGATAATTGATACTAAGAGAGTTTACACATTGAGCATTTTTCAATCTGCTGAATACCAACCAAAATAACAATGTAAAATTTGACAATACTATTTCCAGAGAAAAATTGCTTTTAAATATAGAATCCATAAGGAACACTGACATCAAACCATCAATAAGTTATATTCAACCAACACATGGTTGCATGCAAGACACAAATCCCTTTATATAACATATATACGTTGAATATCATTAACGGTTTCACAGGTAGATTATGGTGGTGCAAATATCGAACTATCAGTACATCTCCATACTCTTATCTTTTTGTCACTGCAAGACAAAAAAAAACTGTATTAACACAAAAAGAAAAACAAATCCATATTTCTGAAGTGAGGACTATGTAAAGATGCCAAAAAACCAGTTCAGATGAATATTAAAATGATATTTATAATATTTAAATCATTTCCACTACTAAACATAGCTGATAGTTTGAAAATAAAAATATTTATCAAAACAATGCTGTTACTTTGGTAGTACTGTTGGAAAATCTCTACAAAAATTGCTACGAGCTAGTAATTGCTACATGGTTGCTTTTTATTGGTACATACTATGATTTTACAATTGTTTAAACCAGGAGTGTGCAACATTTATGTTCTGTGGACCATATAACCAAATTTAGACGAATAGCTGGGACACACAAAAAGAATAGCAGAAAAGCCAAGAGAAGGAGAATCGGGCTATCGCTTAGCCTACAAGGAATAAAGGAACATGTGAGTGCATTTTAAAACATAAACTGTCAGCTTAGGAATTCATGCTCGATGGCACAAATTCTGAGTGTTGACAAGGGCTACATTAAATGGGTTGGCGGGCCAACACCCTGGTTTAAAGCTTCTTATAGCGGAACACTTATCATTAGTACCATAACAAAAATAAGGCTAAGGCCTTAGCTTCAAAAATGCTACATAACTACTGAATGTAACTATTCAATTCAGTTATTTCTACGATGATTGATGAATTATTGTAAATTGTATTACATTTTGATAACTGTGTCATTTACATAACTTAGTTGACAATTGACATCGTAATGAAATTAGATAGTGTTGATGTTGGACTAAAACATGCAAAACTTTTCAATAATCAATTCTTTGTTATTTGAATTAATTAGCTTTAAAACAAGTGCTTTGATTAGAAAAATTCAAGAAAACTAAGAATAAAATTTCTGGAGGTAATAAATATTGTCAGACAAGGTAACATGCACGTAGTTGATAAACATATGAAAAAATAAAAGTAATCAATTCAAATGCCCGATTTTTAATTAATCAGACTCGAACTTCAAAGACCTCTCAGACAATGTAAGGCACAAAATTGTCAATAAATTGAACCTGATTATGCTAATACCAAAACCAAATAATAAGGAAGCGTTAAATTTTGATTAAAATTATAAAATTTCCTGAGGAATATTCGAAATAGATCAAGTTATTAGTTTATAAAATCGGTTGCGAAAATTGATGAATATAAAAAAATGTTCAATAGTTTTTTGAGAAGAGTCTGCTATTGCAACCAGATTTTACACAATCTGGGGAAAGTCTCAAATATGACCAGGATCTGATCTCATTTTTACTGATTAATGTGAGTTTTAGATAAAACCAAACTAAAAGAAAAAATTCAGATATTGAAAAAACTACTCATTCAGGCATGCCAAATTAAATATTGCATCTGCAATAGTCATGCAAAAGAAATAAGTCGTTAAGATTAGAAATTAACACAAACTAAGATTAGAGAAAACTATATTCTTTTAGAAAGCAGAGAGAGTAATGCTTCTAAACACAAGCCAAATTTATTACTTTTAATGTCATCTGTGCTTCCAAACTTTAATTGTCATATCACTGAAAAGCAGAAAACGACCATTTCAAAATCATGAGCGAATGATAACATACGTTCATAGTTCAGCACAAAATATTTCCAACAATTCCAAAGTTATCAAGTTGATAAAATCCTAAAATATTATGAATCCTGCGAAAAGCTTTCAACATATTTCATTATAATACCTTGCAATTACTGACATTGACAAATTTGAACAAATGCCGCATTTCAAAAAGGGATTACTCAGAAACATTGTCCTTGGACTAAAATGAATTTCAATGAAACGTCTGTATAAGTTCTATGTAGTTTGGGATGGAAATCATATATTATGTTACGATCCTAACTTCAAATGTCGTAAATAGCTTGTTAAGAAGTATGCAGCCAAAATTTTAAATGATCATACAATTATTATCAACTCATAAACATATCACTCACTTTGACGCTGTGAAAATAAGTTCATTATTTGACGCGATGTCATTGACAGTGTCAGAATGTGCTCGAAGATCGCCAACAACGCTTAAACTTCCAACATCCCATAATTTCACAATACCATCACGGCCACCAGATAACAAGATTTCTTTGCCGTTAAAATTGACCATGTCCAGAGTACTGACCCAACTTGTGTGTGCAAGATATTCAGACTTGAAAAAGAAATGGAATTTACTTCACAAAACAGTGAAATAAAAAATTTTAATGAGCAATTGGTGAAGGTTGATTCTTCATTATATAACGAAAGTCCTCATGCAAATAATGCTGAAAATCTGGCCCTTTTAATCGTGAAAAGCACTAGAAATACACTTTTCATCGCACCTCTGATTATCCTGCGTGGGTTCACAGGTTCGAATACCACAGGGGAATATTATGTGAAGAGGATTGCTAGACTCCTCGCCGCCATAGTCTGGTCGGTGGTCGGAAAAGGCTTCTTCCACCATCAGGTCCATGCATGTTAAACAAATAACTGGCTAACTAATCCCATACCCAACATGGACTGGTAACCAGATGAAAAGCCGTGGTATACCATATGGTTAATTTGCAAAATCGTTTCTCTAGGTTTTGCTCTCCTCTAGGATATGAAAATTCCTTTCCGATGTTGAAAAACAATTCATTTGTATGATTGCCATCAATTCACCAGTGTGATACTAATAATGTTTTGCAGCTTAACAGTTTGTCTTCTAAATAAATGACATAAACATACAGATACAAATTCAATACCTTTATCAAACTCTTTGAACTCAAGTCCCATTTTTTGATAGATTTATCTCTCGAACAAGAAAACAAAGCATTGTGAGTGACAGATGTAGCAAGAGATTCCACTCCATCCATATGTGGAGGATCAAAAGTTGTTGTTGGTGATATATTGCCATGTGATTCCGGAATAAGAAAAGACTGAAAAGCAAAACAATGTATAACACACATTTTGATTAAAAGAACTAAAAATGTGGCCACAGCATTGATAACAAATCAAAAAAATGAGAGAAGAAAACAATATATAACACTCATTTTAGGTGAAAATATCGAAAAAAAGGCCAGTGTTGCTAAGAAATCAACCAAACTGACCATCCAAATTATCACACAGCAATTGCTTATAGCTGTAGTGTTTTGATTATTCCCATCATACAAGGCTTTTTTACACAAGCAGACCTTTCAGACCTACTATATTCGAAAGAAGCAGGTTTTTTCAGTTCGACATAGTCTATCCTATTTAGAACACCCCAGATGATTTGTCCTCAAGATGTTCTGTGGATATAGTTAGTGAGAATAACATACCTTGACATAATGATCTTTTGAACCAGTTATTATGATTTCATCCTTTACATCTGGAACTTCTATTGTTTTAACTTGTCCACCATGCCCTGTTAACTTTCCAACTAATGCATATCTGAAATAAAAGAATCACAATGTCATTCAATATTCATCTTAAACAGCATTTCGAAATAGTGATTTGAATGAAACCTGTTTCCACTCGAGTTATAAATAACAATGTGTCCCCTCCCCCTCCCTGGATGGAGTGGCAAATTATGGCCTGCAGGCCAAATCGGCCCGTTGGGTACTTCAATCTGGCCTGCCTGATGCGGCCACAACCAAACTAAAACTCAATTTTGATGTTTAAAGGTGGGTTATCACGCAAACATTTTTGTAGCAAATTTGATTCTATATGATTTATTAGGATTTTTGGCGTTTACTGTTTGCATAAAATGGACTTCGTTTGCCAGACTCGTATTTTTAAAAGTCGACCCTGCCGAAATCGAACGCAAATTAGTATGTCCCGTTGATGGTGAGAACTCGTCGGCGAAACTTTGCATTAGGTCAAAGGCAATTATAGCATTCTGTGTACTCATTTTGAACCGTGTGCTAGTTCTATTGGGCGGCGCATTTTGAGGAAGCTTTTGTGATTTAAATCAATACCAATATCTTTAAATAATATTATTGCATTATGAGAAATTGCAGTAAACTCAACTAATCAAGGTCAAGACGTACTCGAGTTCTGTGCCAGACCTTTTGCTGCAATATATTTTTTAGGGAAAAAGCGCATACCAGGCCATTTTTTGTCTCAAATGATCTAGATTTTATAATTCGTGTGTGTTTACTCTGCTTATCTGGTCCTATAACTAGTCTTTTTATTATATTTTCGGTATATATAAACTAACTGATTATACCGGTATATGCGCAAACACTACCGTAACGTATGGAATGTGTAGTTGGTGGTTACAGCAGATTTCACAGGGATGGAGCTGTCTTGAAGCAGAAAAAGAGAAAAAAACTATTGATAAAATTTTCGCAAGTAACCTTTTCTGATGTCTCTCCATGGAACTAAAAGAAGACCTCTAAGTCGAAGGATCGTTTCAGCCATAAAATTATGTTTGAATCCATGCAAACTTCTACCCACAGCCCGAAACAACAATACTTCACGCAGTTATTCAAATCAGTTTTTATTTATTTTTGACATTTATTACAAGTTTTCATCATATGTAATTCATTCATGCCAATAAATGTGTTGTCAACAAATCTCCATTAGTTGATCGATACGAGCTTGACTGTGTTGTTAATAGCAGAGTGCACTGGAAAACGAAGTATTCCGAAACAAATTAAATTGATAGAACTGACATGAAAAAAAAGATCAGGATATTATCACCAGACAGTTTAGTAGGGTTCAACATACAACAGTGTTTTGTTGCATAATAATGTGAAATAAATATAAAAAAAATGAGCCATTATTGGGATTCTACGTTTATCTGGTACCGGTAGTAGACTATCACCCTTTTGGTAAATGTACAAATTGGCGATTTGTATTTGGTTCATACAAAAGTGTGACTGGGTATCATCATGCTTTGACTAAATATTTTATCAAACAGTCGATAAACGAAATAAAGTGGTAAATACTTACTCTAGAATCAGTACTTCAAAGCCTCCTGACGTACCGGTACGATCATTCCATAAAACGCCGTGGCTTGATCCCCTCACATTCAGAACTTCTTATGCATTAGCATTTATGCTTAACAATACATTATTGTTTCAATCTTTATTAAACTAAGCGATGAGAAACTAAATTTAAACGCCAAAAACAGAGGTTGAACACCTTACTCGCCAATGGCGAGGGAGCTAATTTCTGGAATGAGTTCTCACTACTACGTCATCAAAGGCCGTTTCCGAACCTGGGTCGATTTTCGTTGAAGCGGTTTTTAAAAATTCATAAGTAGAAAACTAAGTCCATTTTATGCAAGCGGTAAACGGTAAAAATCTTAAAAAAATATATAGAATGAAATTTTCCACAAAATTGTTTGCGTGATAACCCACCTTTAAGCTATAGCTCAAGGAATTTGTTGAAATTGAAATTAAATTTTGTTTTGGCACAACGCTCACTGATTTCCACTATTGCTTTTGTAATGCTGTAAATATTGTTCATAAAATATCACTTTTTACGTCACATTCGCATGACCCGCCAGTCTAGGTCGCAAAATTTTTAGCCCCTGATCCCGAAACCTTGCCCACCCCGGGTTTAGACTATTACAGACTAAAATCGAAATATAGCTGTTGCGAAACAGAAACAAAAAGCTGGTCTTCACCTTTGGAAGAAAAGTTATGAACCTCTGTTTCAAAGATTAAACAAAGAGTTAGCATTACCCAGAGTCAAAAACAAAATAATACTTATTTAAATCCCAAATCTTGACGGTTGATCCAGTCGCTGTGTACAAGAGTTTCGATTTCTTAGATGATGCAATATCAGTGATTTCAGATTCATTATCAGGCATCCTATTGGTTCTTCCCATTGTTGAAGAAAATGCTGACAAAGGAAAATTCTGGCCGGAAGAGCTGAGAAGAATAAATATCAATACTTGAAGTAAATTAGGCTAATATAGTTACTAATAGCTGAATTCCGAAGGACGCGGAATCAGTAGGTAAATAGACACACAATAAAAATCATAAGTAGGCTCTAATTGCCATGCATTTGTAATCTTTTAAAGCAATGGCAAGACAACATAATTACCTATCAAACAAACAACTCATACCTGAATATTCTAATACATTTTGGTTTGCTTCTTATATCCCATACTTTTATGAAAGATAATGATACAGTATATACAAGACCATTGATAGGACAATGATAAACAGCCTGGAAAAATTTAAAGAATTTAGTTTTGATTAACTGAACAATGATTTTGAGTTAAAATTGTCCTGGTTAGAAGTATGCCTAGTTCAATTTCAGAAATTCAATACGAAAGATGGGATCTAAGATTCTCATTTATACTGAGGGAGATGAAAACTGTAAGACAGTTAATCATATTGCAAACTATGGTTTCTCTTCTAGCTACCATATCATGCTGATTAAGGTTAAGAAGTTATACAAGTTTCAGATGCATGGACTTGTAACCGTAGGAATCCGTAACGGACCAGCGGTAATGTGAACCACAGTATGGCGGCAAGGAGTCCAGAAAATCCCCTCGCACATGGTTATCCTCCCCAAGATTTGAACGGGCACAGGGTAATCAAAGGTGCATTGGCATGTGTGTTACTAAGGCTTAATGAGATGTGCCAACTAAATTGAATTGGTTATGCCAAAAAGGCCAGACAATTTGATTATCTACTTTCCTGGTGTTCTATTCAAAAATGAGTTTATGAATGTACATTAAGACAAAAATATGTATATGGGGCGGATGTAAATGAATCAACACTGATACAAAATACCATTAATAAAAGTAGAATTAATGAACTACAAATTGGTGAATGGTCCTACTTATGTAATTAACAAAAGTTTCAACCTTATTGAAAAGAAAAAAAAAGTGCAGAAAAAGCAAGGATATATTGCTACGTATATTACTCACATTAACATTATTAGGATGACCATCAAGTGTTGAGAATTCTTGACCAGTTACTAAATTCCAAATTTTCACTGTTCGATCTAGATGGTGTAAAATAAAACTAAATGACATACAATTTTACAGAAAAAGAAATGACAACCAACAATATTATTGCTCGTATTATATACAATGATGACAAATGGGGGTTAAAACAATTAGACCCGTGATTTTTAAAATGAACCAGGTTACAAGATTCAAAAATCCAGAAGAAGAATTTTCAAATTTGTGTTACCCATGGCTTGAATGAAATACAAAATCTAATTTAAACCAGACCAGTAGGGATATTACAATATAAATGAAAATATAATTAACCAACAAATCGAGGTTTTCTCGAATATCTAAAACTCTACCTTTTGAGCCAGAAAACAATAGTTGATCAGTAGCATGTAAACATAGAACAGCTTTACTGTGTCCTTCTGCAATTTTAATGCATTCCAATGGTGTATTCTTTCCCAGTGGTGTTTTCGATGTATGTTCTGTCATTTTGCCTCTAAAAAACGTATTTGACAAAAAGAGATATTGGATGAAGGTATGAACAGTAACGGCGGAATCTGAATACCATTTCATTCAGAATAAATTGATTATATAATACAAATAAACATTGCAAAATTTAAATTTGTTTTATGACCCTCATATACTGGACATTTAAGTATAAAGAGTAATTTTAATAATGAGTGAAGCTGTTTATAAATTTACATTGAGTTTGACATGATGGAATATACAAACTATACAAAATAAATCTGATCATTAAAGTATGGTCAATTTATAAGTTTAATCTTATTCAGCAGATGTTACAGAGTATGAAATGTAAACCTGATTCAATGTATTTTTGAATAGTTTTGAGGAAAACTGAATACAGGAATATTAATTAAAATGATCTGATATTCAAACAAATCATAATTCCTATTAAATTTTTCAAACTAAATCTTTTTCACCTTCAAAATTTTAAGGACGGATTGAGGTTGACGGATAATACAATCAATAATAAGAATTTACAGAATCAGCCATTACAGATGCGTCAACAATTTCGAAAATGAATCATGATTACCGGTATAAATATTGAGAACAGAATTGAGTCGATTTTTGATTCTACGTTGTAGCTCATTAAATAATTTGCAGCAAAGCTTATCTAAATTTCTCTCTATTTTTTATTGCCATAATAATTACAAATATTAAGATTCATTAGGCCAGGAAAATCTAGATTGAAGCAAATCATTGGTATATGCATTCAGCCAGCCATTAAGATCTTTTAAAGCTTTGTTAACCATCGAGATTGTTAAAAACCTCTACTGATGCCTAGATGGTCTTTTTTTAAAAGGATGCAATGGCAAGGTCATAGAAGGAAGCGTCAACATGGACAGAGCAAAATTAATAAGCCAAACATGAATTTTTATTACCACGAATCGTGATTGTGAAATAAATTCATTACTGAAACCTAAATAGTTTTATTGTACAGATTGCTATCTAGTTTTAATAAACTTCTAAATTCAACCCCTTCAAAATCAAGGATTGAAACTTTCTCGGACTGGGTTACAACAATCCGGTCTTGTGATAAGAACCTATTCTAGCATGATCAGAGCAAGCATATTTATCTAACTAAGATATTCTAAAATTTGCAATATTGCAATAAGAGCTCAAAATTTACATATTCATCAAAATTCACCGTGAATTACATACATGCAACACCCAGCTTCACTTGACATAAATAAATACCTGAATTCATAATACTCAGGGTATTCCAAACTGAGAAATTAATCAAATAAATATATAATCCAGGAAACATTGTAATTCAAAATGATGAGCGGGAAAACGATGCTGATACTTTGAAAAATCTCACTCTTGTGAATTACAATTTTTTGACAGAAATATCCATAAAATTTCACAGATATTAGCTTATTTTCAATGCATGTGACAAAATTTAAGAAATTTGTTTAAAGCATTTTTGCTCGTAGTTCCTTCGATAGATATCATGTAATGGGCAAATACTTCATCCGCCATTAGATAATGAATGAGATCATTAGAGCTATTTATTATTCATTTTTTTAGGTTTTTAGTTTGAATGTGATAAATCACTAGACATGCTAAAAACATTGTTTTACGATGAGCCAACAAGTCATGCTTAAGGCTTTTCAATGTTTTAAAATATAGAAATACTTAAAATTAAATGATAACTTAAAGATGTTAGATATTTATAACAAGAATACGATACACAATGAAATTCCCAAAGTAGATTTCACTGATTTTTAAAGTTGTAAATTGGCTTTGCAATCTTTGGAAACAATAAAATTCATAGGCCCACCTCTTTACATGGGGAGACCCAATTGAAAATGATGTTAATCTGGCAAAAACATCAGGTGGCATTTTATGTTGTCGATTTGACACTGGTCTGGATGTTGGTGGGGTTCCAGGACGTGCAAACTCTTCGCTTCTAGAAACATTTACAGATTTAAAAATAAGATATGGAACAAGGTTTCAATTATGCAGGATGAACAAAAAAAAATAGCTGGAATACACTGCACTAAGTTTTTCAGCGAGATCTAAATAATTACAGTTATATTATCGATTAATACTTACGGTGATTCTTTTATCCCCAATTTTTCAGGCGTAGTTACTATTTTGGGAACAGATTTTGTCCCATCCACAACTTCATTCTCCATATCAGGCGAAGGCAAGGTTGGGACTGGTCTGTTGCCTAATTCCCTACAAATTGGAAATGATTTGATTAAACTAGCAGTCACAAACTTTTTTGATATATGACATGAGCATTTATATTGTCTACCAGTATTGTTTTCATCAAATTCAAGTTATCACAGATTCCACAAACAAGCCTATTAAAAAAGTTATGACAAAAATTAACTCACAATGACGTAGGTGGATTAAGAACATCGAAAGTAAGTCTCTTCGATTTTGCGTCATCATTTCCACCCCCTTGTTCCTCTGGTATGATTGGACTTGACATTCTCCATGGAGAAACAGGTGACAAATTAGCTTGTGTTATACCATGCAGTAACTCCTAAAAGCAAGTAAAATAAAAGGAATATGAAATAAACGGAACTAGAAACATGATGAGGAACATAGAGGCACCACACCTGATTATACACAAAATCTTGTGTAGCCTATATATGTCACAGTAACCTTTTTAAAAATGCCGCTCCAGAGGTGTATGTACCAATATGGCGGTAACTAATTTTGTTCGCCTATTTTGCATCAAGTTGTGTAAAGGGACGAAAACCTATGAGCAGGGGTATATTCACTTGGCTAACACAGATAGTCCCCGAACTTACCTTATCTTAAATTACACATGGTTTTAACATGATGTTTAGGTCTGGTTTGAGGCATTTTTTGCTGTTATGAACACAATAAATGAGAAACATATTAAAGGCTTTGAAACAGTCACTTTTACCAGCTTTGTAGATTATGGCATTATACAATTGTTTTTCAACTCAAATTAAAGTAAACCATAGGAGTCACACAACAGCAACTCTGTAAATTGGCATTTCAGATTGCTTAGGATATGATTCAATAAACTCAAACTGAAAACCTCAAGGAACTGGTCTCTATCAACAAAATCTGTCGATTCACTACTATTTGCTACCAGTATATTGGAGTATAATTTTCAGGTAATATCAACTATATAACTTGAAAGAGGGTCATTCTTGCATATAATATATGAATGATCAATAATGAATATTATAGTATTACCTGCGGTGTGGCAGTTTTTGCTCTGGCCTTTATTCTTAAATCTTTTGTTGGAGTTTCAGGATTTGAAACCAACTCATTCCTTGATGAGGGACGTCCTGTTGAATTGCTATCAGTATCACTGTCACTGTCATCATCAGATCCTGGAATATTGCAATGAGTTATTGCTGACCCAAAGTGGAAATATGGATTGTTTTTCAAATAGTTTGTTGTTGTTGGGGTACAGATGTTAAATTGCTACAGAGGTTAAACAGGAAATCAATGGTATTAAAAACACCTTATTCATGACATTCTTTTCCACATACTTAAGAATTGCTCTAGTTTTCAATTCTTATTACAGGTATTCTTGCTCTAATTAAGTAAGGTAGTCTGATAAATGATAACGAATATAAAAGTATTACAGTAATCCTTAAAAAAATTTTAGAGTTTATATCAGGTTTTCAAATTCCTGTTCCACCAAAATGCTTTTACATTGAAGTGGTAAAAAAACTATCGGTGCTGTCGCATTTATATGACAGGAATCAGCTACACAATGTCATGCTAAAATATATGTTCATGAATTAAACCATGAATATAGTAAATACTTTATCCACGGATGATATACTCGACTACAATGATCTATTGATCAAGCAATCAGAAAATTCTTCATCTCACATAATTGTACTCCATATACAAAATACAACAAAGATTCATAAAAAACAAAATTACAATCCTACCATACTGATAAAAATCATATGATGTTCCGTATAAAATCAAGTGAACTATTCCAATGAAAAGAAATAATTAAATTATTAAAGCATGAAAATGAAGGATTATACAAACATTGTACATTATTAGGTACACCAGGTGAAGGCAGGTTAGTTGTGTAAAAAGTCATAACAATATTTTTTATTTTTGAACAGAGTACGAACTTTTTTCGACTGTGTGGAGCAACTATGTCCCAAGAATAAACAAGACAACACTAAAGGTCAGAATGCTGAGGAATTTTATATTTTTTGATTCCCCTTATTATTTAATAATAAGCTATAAATTTGATTTCAACATACTTGCAATAAGTTCTGTAAGATCAGGATCAAGTTCGGTCTGAGATTCTTCAACAATGTATTTCATCAATTCCTGTGCCCGTTTCGATGTTTCTAATTCGCTTTCTAGTTTTACTTCCAGTTCTGCTATCTACAATATACAGTATAGTTAAAATCATGACAAGGAAATACTGCTTCAAATCAAACTTTTAAGATAATAGATAAGATAATGTTCTTCTATTCTATTATATACCTCTATTAAAAACTTCAAACCATTGTTTGTAATTCAGGGCACATAGTCTAAGCCTGTCTTGCTCTTATCGATATGGTGGTTGAACTTGGTTACATTTTCAGACACCCCAAAGTCGAAAGTCTGAATTTTGATTAACTGGAGAATTCAAGACTTTTAATGATGATAATCAAAGTCAAGAGTTATGACAGTTGACAGAAACCAAAAAAACAATAGCATTTCAAAAGACAATGAGAAAAGAGTTGCATATGACAAAAGTTGATGAGCAGAAATGCATTTTTCACCTCACTGACTGCAGCAAAAGAAAATGAAAAGTGATAGCATGATGCCATAATATAACATATTCTAGCTGTAAAATTAAATTTGAAATAAATATTGCAAAATGAAAAACATATCACTGAAACAACATAAAAACTGAATCTACACATAATACTTACTTTATTCTTAGAGACCAAGGAAAGTGCTGATTTATTGACAGTAATTGCAAGAATACTATCAAGAATATATCTGAATTCACTTCTAGAGCAGGTATCGAAAATTGATGATATGTATGAATCTGCCTCCATTGATTCATTGACCTTTGTAGAAGAGATATTATGAAGTTACAATTCGAGCCTATTCCAAATAGGTTACTTTGTGTGTGTGAAAATATTTTATGGGGATGAAAGAGGGTAATAGAAAATTGTGAAAATTACAACTTTTGACCAATTTGGCACAAAATCATCTCATTGATGAACACTTTCTAATTCTAGCAACACTTGGCCAAATTTACAAAAGGATAATGACACAGGCAGGAAAGTTGGCATCCTCAGAGCTTGCTCTTGCAGCATCCATGAAACATTGTCAAAAATTCTATCTCCCCTTGCATTTTGCAGTCTACCTTATAGTCTACACAATATCTACACAATAAATCAGGGTAGATATTTTTAAAAAGTGTGGAACAAAATCTTCAAAAATATTATATCTATTTTCATAGCACAACTTTTTAAAATCGTGATGCTCCCACAGAAAACACAACAATTTGATCATCAGAAGTAAAATTTAAACATTGTTTTTTAGAGATTGTTATCATGAACTAACCTGCAACATTTCACTTTGTATTTCTTCAATCTGATAATTAGTAAATTCAATAGTTTCTTTCAAACTTTCTATTTCACATATTAACTCTGCTGGAGCTTGCTGAAAAGAAATCATTAGATATAAATAAATTAAATCTCCAAATAACGTGATCACAGGCAAAATCATGACAAGACTTTTATTTCTTTAATATGATGACTACTGATAAACTTGTGTTTCAACTCTGATATCTAGCCAATGAAAATCCAATTTGAGAAAAATAATATTTCACCCATAAAAGGTCAAAGTATAAGGTGTATGGAGAGAGAATGTACAAAAAAATTCATTGCTGAGAACTGGAAAATAATTTGTATCAAATTGTGAAGAAAAATCATCAAAACCAGCACTGAGTCAAATTTCACCAATTTTCAATTTGAATAAATTCTTTAGGTAACACCACAGTGCATGGGTGATCTGCATTCCTATATTTAATGACACACGATAAAATGCTTGTGGATGTGCAAATAAATGGGCGCTTCAGAAGTATGTGTACCAATATGGAGGTGACTAATTTTGTTCGCCTACTTTACATTAAGTTGTGTGAAGGGACTGAAACCTATGAATAGGGGGTATATTCACTTGCCTAACACAGACAATCCCTGAACTCGTAAGTCGTAATAGAACTAAAACAAGGAAAATAAAAGATTATGGCCTAACCCTAACCTGGTACACATACTACGGGAGTAAAATAAATGTACACAGTTGCAAATACACACAATACGAGATGCATAAAGTGGCAACACTATAAATCATGGTATTCTCGTACATGTCCAAAATCAATGTAGACTATCTTCCATTTTTTGATAACCATTAACCATTTTCAGAAATGAAAATATTTATAATTTTAAATTCATCAAAAATATAATACATCACCAATCACCATTCGATTTCATGATTGAATGCAATTTTATCATAATTGCACGACTTAATAAAATAATAAGCTTTTTCCACTCTTGAAAAAAAAACGACAACAGATAGACATTACCTGAGAAATTGAAACTTTCTTCATCTTTCTCTTCTCTAATCGTTTAATATTTTTCAATAAATCTTCTCGTTGTTTTATGAATCTGTCCATTCTTTTACCCATGTGTTCAATAGTTTCTCTTTGCATAACAATATTATGAATCTAAAATACGAAATGTTGCTGTGAATAACAGCCGCCCAATGTTTTTTACACCTTCAGACTGAGCAAAGAAAGAAACCTCGAACCCACTGATACTTGAAAAAATTAAAAATAGATAGCAGCAACAAACAACCAAAACCAATGATATCGTAAAAAATTGACCCATTTATGTCAAGTCATTACAAACAACAATATTTCTATTAGAAAACTTTTAAAAATTATTTTAAAGCAACTGAAAAGAAATGTATATTGCATGATACTGCTAGATACTGTCATTAATATAGTAGGCAATTCTGCAGTATGAAAATTCGAGTCCTAAAAACAAAGTATCTTACTAGATATGTAGACCCTCATCCGAAATAAGCTTTTAAGAAATCTCAAAAAAATTTACACAAAGTAGGAAATCACAACATTACCTTGTTCTCAATTTTGGTCCATTTTGATTTGGCCCATCTCATTGACTGATCATTTGATAATTTTTTATCTCGATTCTTAATCTAAGAAGGTGAAAATATAATAAATTAAAAAAAAAATTACATTATTACGCCATACCAAAATAATGATTGTGCTTAGAAAGCAAGTAATAGTTAGACCTGAAATAGTGAAAAATGCAGTACTGTGGGAAATTTTGACTCTCTTATGAGTGTACTAAAAGTTATTTGGATCTAAACCACACAGAGTGGTATATTTAGAATACATTTAATTTATATCAATTCTGACCATACTGATGAATCAACTGTGACCAGACTAACTTGCTTTTTTTATGGATTACCATGCAGAAACAAAGCATACCATTGCTGCCTTCGAAGCTTGTTGTGCTGTGAGAAAAAAACAGAAAATGAAGTACGTCTGACTTGATATGACTCAGTATTTGTGTCCATGGTAAATATTAGTTTGATTGACTGATAACATCGATAACATGCCAACACTACAATTTTGTGTACATTTTTAAATATGAAGATGACAATATTATGAAGATATTCCACATAACGAGAATTCCATTTGCTCATAATATATAGAAAGATTTTCTATATAGGCCTACACATCAAAATAATTTTGGCAGTTTCTCGTGATCCTACCTTGTCTCTTGGCACCCAATCTCCCCGATAAAGGTCTGATTTGCTTTCTTAACATTTCAATTTCCTCTTTATTTCTTTTAACAACGCGATCTTTTGCTTGAAATTTTGTTTCTAATGTACGAAGCTGACTCTGTGAACAATAGTTAGAGTAGTTTACCCAGTAGTATGTTTTTACTTATGATATGGTTGCTATCGCCTATCGCTACATTCTATGACGTCATAACGAAAGAGCAAAAACAGATTTCTAGTGGTTGTGGTGTTGCAACAATTTGTCATAACAATTCATAAACGTAACTTGTGTTGAATATGCTTGGCCAACAGTGCAGAATGCAACTGTCAACTATTTTGAGATAATGACTTTACCAAATTTTCCCACTCGTTTCAGTCAATGGAGGTGGCAATTTGTAAAAACAGAAATTCAATAGAGAATCGGCAAGAATGACATTAAATTCGTTATTGAGTCCATGTCATTTTCGCCGATTCTCTATTGAATTTCTGTTTTTACAATTGGCCCCCCTCGTTGACTGAAAAGAGAGGGAAAATTCAAATCTTGGCCCAAACCTAATACTCACATCTTTCTTCCTCCCTTCTTTTCTTAATTGTGTGATTTCACGTAATCTTTGAGAATCTTGTTGTTTGCCTTTCTTCTGTTGTTCTTTCATTTGTTTCATGAGTTTTACCTAAAGTTTGATAATATCAAATATTAAAACATATTAAATCATGATTGATTTCCTTATTCTATTTATTACTTATCGATCTTGATCGGTAAGTACGTTGATAGGTATTTGTCTGTTTGTTTTTTTGTTTCACTTTTGTATGTCACATGATATCTCACGAACGCGTGGTTGATTTTGCATGTGCATTCATCATATCTCGGACCAGAAGTCTATTGATTTTGGATGAATTATGGTATAAATAGCAAGTTATTGATTAATCACTGATGCGGTGTCCTATTCAGTCAGAGCGAAGGAATTGAAACCACAAGATCGATAAGCCGCCGATCGCTATCTAGTTATGAAATTATTACCTTCGTCGATTTCATTTGCTCAAGTTCAGTTTTCAAATTTTTCAATCGTTGATGATCTTTGAATTGTTCTTGCACCATCTTGTCATAACTTTTCTTCTGTGCCTAAACATAAACATTTTAAAATTTTATATTTTGGTGAAAATGTTAAATGAATACTATCACAATCGCCCAATCAAAATGAAACAAGAATCACAATGGAAATAATGGATAATACATGGCAATATCATTTTCTACTCGGCCTAATGACTTTAACTAAAGTAACAGTGAGCCATGGTGAACATTAGCAGAAAATGAGAAGATTTCTAATTAGACAATCAGATTCAATTATAAAATGCAAAGGTGTTGATTTCAACAACTTATGTAACAGAATAAAACAATTTTGCTATGTTACTCATCAACATTGGCCCCCAGCACACAAAATTATGAAGTCAAACAATAATTTTTTAAATTTAACATAAATAACATTACTACTTCCTAAACTACACTTAATGATTATTAATGAAGAGTTTAAACTGAACCTTTAATTTTCCAACTTCCTTCTGCATAGTGTCCAATTTCTTTTGATATTCTTGTTTGATTTTGCTTGAATCTCGTCCAGCAGTCGGTTTTTTCTCTGTAAACAAAAAGTGCAAAACTTGCAAGTTTAAAACAACATCATAACAAAAGAAAGTTGTGATAATATAATTTTGATTGAAAAATGAAAGCAGATTTCAATATTCATTGAAGAGCAAAGCCCAAAATATTTGATATATAATGAGACAAAAAAAATCAATTTGCCTGTTCTGGTTGTCATTGGCGGTTCTTATTAAATGGACATTTTGTTATTTTCACTTGTTCTCTTGTGTAATTTTTAACCAACAAGGAGTTGACAATGTTATATTAACCCCAGGATTTAAGATAAAGAGCTATATTCTTGTGATGAATTACAATCTCCCACTTGGCCATCAGTTCAGGTGAATTACGTAAGTATAAATCATCTTACTAAATGTACCAGATATGTGGATATATCGAAGAGACAGTAGCACCCTGAGGTGACAATGAGTTTAGCATTCTGTCACCCCATACTATACTCTGGACTTCTTTCTAGCCCGGACTCAAAGTCTTGATACCATACCATACTAAGGTGTTTATTTGTACACAAATTTCGTCCCTTTATATATTGCTTAAATTTCAACAAAACTTATTCGTATTTTTGCTTCGAGTTTTCTCAGAATAAAAATTATCTCACCAAGATTGGAGAGAACTTTATCTCTTTCTTCTTCAGTATTTTTAATTTTCGTTTGTAATTGTTTGACCTAGAAAACAGCAGTATTAACTAGAACAAATATCTCCAATACAGCACCATGCCAATAAACAACTTTCAATTCATTAGTATTTAAAAGTATATCAAATTAACAAGAATTACAGAAATTTGAATAGTTTTATCAATTGATTTTGGATGTTCTCAACAATATTTTAATACAGTATCAATAATACAAAACAATCAAAACCATTTTTGAATTTATAATCCATAACTCAACATAACATATAATCAGGATTTGGTTATTTTACTCATCATACCTTGTTCTCATATGAGGATCTGAGTGTTTCCATCTTTATTTTTTGAGATTCTAATTCATCGATAAGATTTTGTTTGAGATCAATCTCAAATGTCAATGTTCCCAGTTGATTTTGAACATTTTCTAAATAAGAGCATCAAGTTAACACAGGGAAGCAGAACACGTTCCATTGAAAGAAAAGACCACAATAAAATTGCCATTGTATTACTATAGGATTCAGTTTTATTGTAAATAATATCATAGATATATAACACAGCAGATGTTGTGATTTGTCACTTTAGCACATACTATCAAACTTTTCAGATCAGAGAAATACTGGAAGTTCTAAAATTAAAATAGTAAAGAAGATATGTTTTGAGAACATGAAAAAATATATAAACAGCGCATAATTCAGAATCAGAATAAAATATAAAGAATCAAAGTAAACACAAAAAATGATAATAGATTTTTTATTGAAAAAATAAATAAAACAGCATCATTTCAAGTGAATAATGCCAGTATCTAATTCTGATGTTCATTCTGGAAAAGAAAGGTAACTATAATTTATTGACAACTAGCTAATTGTCTATTCCCTAAAAGACCACAACAAAGAACAGCAATAGCCTAGGCATTGTACTCAATTAATAACCACCACATAGACTCAATATACCCCTCTCCCCCCACATATATAACGTTTTACATATTCTGCAGAAAATAACTCAGCATTAGGAGAATACTTTAAGAGAAATCAGCTTTGTCTAAAATAACTATGAAGTTATATTTCAAGTGTTTATAAATGTTTAAAATTAAATTAAGCATGATATAATATCAAGCAGTAGTCCAATCAGAATATTGCTATCACAGTTTTTGCTGTAAGCAAAATAAAACTGTATTAAGATCTTTGTTTACTTCCCTAGGTTACCGATTCAATTCTAATTCACTAGTTTTTAATAAGATATGGATACTTATAACAGAAACTCAGCAATTAAGGTTTGTATCTTACTCCGAGCAAACAAAATAAAAACTAATCAAAATGTTTGAACAAATATCAGATTTGGATTTAAACCAAATTTTCAATGAAGCATCAAAAATTTTCCCTATCTCATTTTAGAAATAAATATAAGAGTTGAATCACTAAGACATGCTGAAAATAAATGTTCATTCTCATTACAATATACCAGGTTTCTTTTCTTCATTCTTTTTCTTGACTGCAATATTATGAATTATTTAAAATAAGGTATAACTGTGAAGTGCTATATAGGCAATTTGAGATGTTCTCACAACTATTCGAGTGAAATTTGTGTAATACTGGAATTGAAGGCCATTGAAGTTAGTCCTACATATTTTAAATTTGATTCATTACCGCCCATCATTCCATAATTGATATGTGCATTGTTCAACTACAAACAAGGACTAGTAATAAAAAGTTCTGACTTTTGAGCACTATTTACTTCTACATCAATGGTCAAGTAAACTTTGTTCAAACAGCAAATGAAGTATCAAACTGAGCTTTGTATTGAATTTGGAAATATAAAAATTCGTCATCAGTGAACTCTTGGGGAATATAAAAAATTGATACAATGTCAGTGAGTGCGATACAAATAATCATACAGAATGCCATAACATTTTGTTGCTACTAGATCTGAGGCCACCAGAACTTTGGGCTCCAGCCCCAAACCATCTAATATTTTTTGACTTTTGTAATTATTTTATACTTTATAAAAGTATAAAAACCATTATTTTCAGCTTATTATTTTTTAAATTTAAATTTCTCATGTTGAAATAAGTTCAATGTAGTTCGAGTCCCGCTTCAGTGAAAATGCATTTAGGCTACTGGTTCATGGTAGTGGTTCTACCAATAAACCACAATGGCCAGAGCGCAGCTACATTGTAATATAAAATAAAGCTCTGGGTGCAATCTCGAATTAGATCCCCAGCCCTGCATAAACTAAATTTATTAAGTTATACAACTTTCAACCCCCAACAAATAAAAAGTACTTCACAATTGTTTGCAAATCATATATGAGCGATAAATACGAGAAGAATGGTATAACAACAATTACTGGTAAAGTATTAACTATTGACAGGACCTATATAGACCAGTTAACAAACCTGCTTCATTATCATCCTCTTCATCTGTATCAGGCAAATAAACCTCAGCATCAGACTCATCCTCACTCTCATCTTCGTCAATTACCTCCTCGCCCTCATCTAAATTATCAACGTTTTCCTTGTTTTCTTTTCTCATTCTGCAAAAAATATTTGACAATTGAATTGAAATTTTTAAGTTAGATTACAAAAATACTAAAATGATAATGCACTGTGAATTATTCAAATGACACTTAGAAGGGGCAATTATAGTGGTTGACTGGTTGGCATATGCTGTCTAATAGCATAATGGACCTATTTTTAGCGTAAAAGCAAGATTTAGGCAATAGGTATTCCTCAATATAAAATTTGATACAAATGTTCCAAAAATACCAAATTTCAGCAAAAATAATCTCAAGTACATAATTTTCACAAACAAAACTGTTTCAGAACATAAATAATTAAATCCTAACTTGGTTGAAACTATATTCCCTAAAAAACCAGACTAGTATGTAAGACCAACACAAATATATTTCTGTAACGTTTTGTCTGACCCTCGGTCAGACTTCCTAAGACAAACATTATTTAACTTCCCTGAGTAAGTCTGTCTTTGGTCAGATAAATTGATACAAAAATATATTTGCAAGACGCTAGCAACACTTAGGATAGTCATTTTCACTCTTGCTACAGCATTCCTGCATTATATGCATACAAATCCACCGGCACAAAGGCATAGAAACATTATTTAACTTCCCTGAGTAAGTCTGTCTTTGGTCAGATAAATTGATACAAAAATATATTTGCAAGACGCTAGCAACACTTAGGATAGTCATTTTCACTCTTGCTACAGCATTCCTGCATTATATGCATACAAATCCACCGGCACAAAGGCATAGAAAAAGGATAAGTGGTTGAGTCCCATAGAAACCCAATCGATAGCACTTATATAACATTTTGTCTTTAACAGCAAATAAAAATTGCAATTTTTCTTTAAAAATATGCAATATTCTAGTAATTTATATGAGCAGTGTAAAATAAACTCACAAATTCAATTTTTTCTGTCGTAATTCCTCTATTTCTTTCTTTGCTAAATCAAGTATCGGAATGTTTTCTTGAGGTGGATCAAAGAAACTCGTACCCGCCATAGGCATGGGCGTCGGAGTAACTCTGCTTCCAAAAGGACTCATTGCAGAGCTTGAAAGAGAAGTTCCTCTTCGTCTCAAATTTCCGCACATTGCCTCACTTTCAAACAGCTTAGATCTAAAAACATAAAGCCGTAATCATCTATTTGTATCCATACTACCAGAATGTTTGATAAGGAATAATGAGCATTTCGAAACATGTGTATATAAAATTAGAAAAATGTGCAAACATGTCCAAAATATCTTCCTGTGCCCAGATTTAACTAGTTCAGTAATGCAAAAAAATGATGCAAATGTCAAATTTAAAGTGAGTGAAATTTAAAATTGAGAACATATTTTTTGTTGCACGAGTCATTTGTTTAAATACAGTATTATGCATATTTTTTGCAATATTCGGAAGGATGCAGCTCTGAATAGTTTGTTATCTTAAATCTTCATACACTCTCAGCCGAATCACTCGAAGATTCTCTTCCGTTTAAATTCTGGGGCTGAATTTTATATATATTTTGAATGACAGAATAGCTCATATATAACCCCTCTGGAGCCATTTTTGAGATGAAATTAAAATGAAAAGGAGCTCTTTCTAGTATAAAAGGTTGGAGATGAATTTCAGTATGGGCTAGACTGAATATAGAGTTATGTAAGTTGTCAGGCTAAAAGAGCGAGTATATCCTTAAGAACACTTACTTCAATTCCTCGTTTTCTTTAATATATTGTTTGATTAGAGACTGCTTTTGAGTTTCACTATCCACGTCACCATTAGCATTCAAATCTATATTGCCAAGTGCTTCCCTCGATTTTAATTCAGTAAGTTCTTCCAACAGTGTGTCACATTTCTCAGAAATGACTTTTACTCTCATTCTCAAATGCTCATTTTCTTCTTTCAGCATACTGTTCTCTTGATACATGTCACTGTAACCTTCATCTCCTGCAACACGCTTGCCCTAAACAGTAGGATTTACATATTTATCCCGAGGGAGAGGAAAGTAGATAGTTAGTTATTTGTTTTCGGATGTATGGACTTGATGGTGGAGAAAGCCGTAGCCGAACAGCGGTTGTTACGTGAAACCTCCTACGGTGACGAGGAGTCCAGCAATCGTCTCGCACATAACCATCCCCGCATGGGATTCGAACCAGCGAACCCACGCAGGGTAACGCTTAGCACGATGAGCCACACCGTTGCGCCAAGTAAGTGAGATATATTTGTCTTCGATTTCTTCAGTATGAATTTTGAAATATTCAGCATCATAAATAGCATCATCCATAAAATAAGCATCTCACATAAACTGATCCCAGATGATATTTGTTTCAAATTGTGTCTTTTTTGGTAACATTAGATATTTTCAAAGTTGTCAATGAGGAATACTTGGACTTGATACTTCGGATTCAATACTATGATTTGAACTCTATTAAGTTGATGAAAATAGAACTGCATTTCAACTCAGTCAATTAATTTCAAAATGAATTTCAAATTACAATTGACCTAAGAATCTATGATTTAGTCATCATTCTGGAATAAAGATATCAAAATAACATCTAGAGATTCATAAACAGGTTGCAAGACTTATTTGATTACATCAGAGAGACTATTTTTATTGTACAACATCGAGTTTGTTATCCTCATACTTACAGTCTTGAATTCTGTAATCTCAAGTTGAAGTGCAGCGATTGTCTGCCTCAACACTTGCATTTGTTGACTTGCTTTATCCTGATTCAAAACCACCTTATTTTTGATATTTCTTGCACGATTTGCATAATTCAAAGTACTAACAGTTTCCATAAAATCAGAGTCTGATGGACTGATACATGCGATCATCAATGTTCGACTAGTAAGAAAATGGCACAGTTAACTGGGCACTAGACAGTACGATCATGGTGGTCTTGTGGAAAAAGTGTTAGACTACTATGGGGGCATGGCAGGTTAAAATCTTGGGTTCAAATCCAATGTCACTCAGATTCCTCTAAAAAAGGAGCTCCTTAATTATTAGTCGCTGCTTGTGAAGAGCATTGATCAGAAGGAAAAACGTCTTATAAAGAAGTTATATAGAAAGTATAATAAGCCATAAACAGCCTAAAATATGATAGAAGGCATGAATAACAAAAGGTTATTAAGAAAATAATCCAACTTAGCTCACGATAATAAATTGAAACTTATAATTCTGTTGGCAAAGTTTTCTCCATACCTGTTTCCTCCAAGAGAATCTTGCAGTAATCTTGTTAATTTTGAATCTCTATATCGAACAAAACTTCCACTTTGTTCTGGATCTCCAAGAGCAGATATTACATTCCCCAATGCCAACTAAAAACAAGAATATTTTCTACCACAGTGCATTAAAATATTATTGTGAATATATTAAAATAATGTTAATATAATGAGATACTTGAAATACTACAATACAACTGATATAACATCACCAAATTTTTTTGAAGCTGACTTTTTCAAATTTCTCAAGATATCAGCAATCCATTTTGTTGCAATTCAGCAAATATAGTTTTACATGTATTTCTACTAAATTTTATTCAATTTTTTTTCCAATTTGACAATGAGTTGTTGAACGTTTGTTTACTTGTAATGTAAAATGTCTACAGCATACCAATCCAGTGTTGATTGCAATTCCTTCTTTGGCACGATCTCCAACAGCTCCTGTTCTATCTAATCTTTCTGAACCAGCTAAATCCGTGAAATGAAACTTTGCCATCAATGATTCAAATTCTAGTGGTCCATCTCTACAACAATGAATAACAGATCTTAAATATTAAGCCTATCAGGGTGAAATTATGCCATAACAGAACACTTTTTCTGATTGTCATAAAACAGGCTGTACATTGGGACTTTGAATTTTTTTCAAGTTGCAAAGGGAATTTATCGATACCAGTATACCACATATAGTTTGTTGCCTCGAGAGGTGAATTAAATGAAGTATAAACTAAATAAATGAGCACTGATTAAAATAAAAACCTGGTTAAAATATATTGACAACTGACTTCATATGAAAATTGAAACAGGACGTAATGAACATCCTGTATATGTAAATCACTTACCCATTTGTGATTCCGTTTTCCTTCACCAATTCACCATCGCTAGATGTTGGAGATTCCTGAAAATACCATTCAATTTACAAACAAGGCTTCAACGAGTTATTGTGAAAATGTTTCAAACATGGTAAGCATTAATAATAGATAAATAAATATGAATTTGAATGCCGTTTACAAATGATTTGCTGGACAAGTTTTCTCTACTGCTGTCTGAATAAACTCAATGCAATGAGGATTGAAGAGGATTCAGTATGGAATTTGATATCAACAATACTTGTGCGGTGGAAGTGGTACAATAACACAGTCGATACAAGCCAATACATAGATTCAATTTTATTCAAACAAAATTTGCAGAAGAAATGCGAAGTAGGGGGTGTATATTGAGCATATGGGGTTAATTGAGTACAATGTATAAAAACCTCGCTAAATTTTTTGTATGTTGAGTGAATGGTTTGTACTTTGTAGCAACAATAGTTCATATCCTATGCTTCCATTTCATTGTGTATAACTCCCTTGCCTACCAATGATAAAATTGTTTGAGATGTTTGTATGTGAAATTTTTTTTGTTCATGAAAAATATTGTTTTGGAAACTTTCACCTGACACTTTTCTGATAGTATATTTTAAACTTTTTGTGATGCCTTTTAGTACCCTAGTTAAGACTCTCTTTGCCCCTGTAGATAATTTTTGTGTAACTCATTGACTTTTTGTTTTATTGATGTTTGAAAAAATCGAGGTAAAGTGAGTCTGTCGGAAATTTACCGTGGGGTAAATCGGGTATATGCATAAATGGCCTCTCCCACTGCTATAACACAGGAATATGAGGTTCTGTGTGACTGTTTTGAGCCCTAAAACTTTTTTGTAGCCTTTATCATGTCCATCTTTCAATATAGGCTTCTATTTTTAATGAATATGAGTGTAAATTCACAATGGGCATTTGTAGGATTCTGAGAAAGCAGTTTTTTTCTTGTAACTAAAAAAATAGTAAAAAAGAAAGCTGTGGACAAGCCAAGCACAGAGCCCTACTCCACCAGTGAGCTTAGTGCATATACAAAGGCTTTAGTTGACGTAATCACATTCACTGTCATCTCCGAAAACATGTAGTAATAATAAAAAAACAGCCGTCCCAGAAAATAAATTCAGGCGAAAACTATATAACGTCAATTGAAAGTATATACCATTATACTGATAGGATAGACTTAAAACGGATATGATTGGTAGAAAAAAGAAAAAACAGCAAATAGAAAGATCATAATAATAGTTCAGAAAAGCAGTAACAGAGTCGGAATAAGATTCGGCTTTATTGACTACAAGACAGAATATGAAGCAGAATTCTCACATAGTACAGCTGATTATAACAGAGGACTAACTTTAAGTAGCATATTCTGACATTAATGAAATCAAGACCTTGACTGGCTGGTTGAAATATTGGGAAAGAGAATTCCTTGGCAAGTTGTCCTCACCGATGTATACAAAATGAACTTTGTATGATACCAGTGTATGGAAGAGCTCAAATGTTTTGTGTTAGATTTAACCCAAAATAGGAACATAAAAAGTATCTCTATCGAGGAAGTTGTTGGCCAAGTCAAACCACCCATTTCTAGTCCATAGTGAACTTATATTTAGACTAAAAGCCTCTTTGTGGTAAAAAGTTTATGGAAACCATAATTGTGATCTATCATACCAAGTTTAAAGTGATGTCAGATAATTATGTTCCAAGGTTTTTGTAATTACTATTTTTTTAAATAAACTATATGTACCCAAGTTTCTCATGAAGGGGTTTGATTTGGTTCTAGGGCTTTCTTAGATTTGATTTAACTGGTAGATGTCAGTATACTCAATTATCCTCGAAAAATGAGGTAAATTGAGTATACTGACTTCCAAAAAAAAATTGCATTTTTAGGTGACTTGAATACATTAAATAAGACTCAAACTGTTATGCAAGGAAGTACAGAGTCAGAATGTTACAATGAAACCATAATTTCACAGAAAATCGATTTCACTCAGATTTTACACCGGTTCAAATGTCAAAAACGACTCAATAAAAACCCCCCCCCCCCCCCCCCCCCCCCCCCCCCCCCCCCCCCCCCCCCCCCCCCCCCCCCCCCCCCCCCCCCCCCCCCCCCCCCCCCCCCCCCCCCCCCCCCCCCCCTAGTCAATTTTATTTGCATTTGTTATTGAATATTATCATAAAATAATGCAAACAGTGCTATACAGAAGACAAAACAACATTGTAATCAGCTTACATTATTTTTAGCAATTGCCCTAAAAGCTCTGGTCTGCTTGATATGAATAGAGAATATCGCATGAGATCTTGAACTTTGTTCGTTCATTCTTGTAGAAGCTGTTGTTCGATTCAATGCACCATCTTGAAGACATTTCATAAGCTGTTGGAAAATGAGAAAAGCAATCCAAATAGTATTACAGTAATTGGTGATAATATATGATATATTAGTATATGATCAACAGGAACTCCCGTAGTATGTGAACCAAGATGGCGTACACCTGAACATAGTATGTATACCAGAAGTTAGGGTTAGGCCATATTTTATTCTAATTTTCCTTATTTTAGTTCTATCACGAGTTACGAGCCAAGTGACTGCCATAGCATTTGTACTTGAAATGATGGCCTAACCCTAACCTGGTACACATACTATGTTCCGGTGTCCGCCATCTTGGTTCACATACTACGGAAGTACCGATCGACATAATATGGTTAGCATAGTTGCAAGTTAATAAACTATTGTTATGGTCGAACCACATTCATGACCTGCCAAACTGACCAACAGATAAGTTGGACAATCGCAAACCAGAAAGTGACTTGTTATCCTATCTAATGGTTAACACTACCAGTACAGTAGTCTGGTAGACGTGGTTATACGTCTAATTTTTTAAAGTTACAGTGTGAGAACGTCGCATAAAATTTCTTCATACTCACAACCACAAGGCTATTGTTCTATCAGTAGAGACGATAATAAAATTTGTTTAAAGAAATTCTCATACTACAAATGTCAATTTAAATTACAATTCTCTTTGACAAATTTGCAATTTTTGTAGTGAAATCACTGATTAGTCAAATATTACATCATGATTTTGCAGTAAATTGATCTTTTCAGATTTTCGTTTTAAAACCAAATGTTAGGCTGATTAGAACTTACCAAATCCTGAAGATTAGTTCATTGAAAAAATTGTATGAAAAGAATACAATCACAATGACATATGTTCATTGGCAAATACAAATATTCATTTGATTTTGAGTTTATTTTTGGTAGAAACTGCATAGGAATATTGATCTCGTACTTGAAGTTGAATCCTTAACCAGTCGGTCGCTTGGAAAATATCATGAAAATTTAATGATTACCTCTGTGCCAGATTTGACAATTTTTGTTGTCATTCCCACAGCATATATGTTTCCGTCCTTGTCTTTTGTTATTTTGATATCAGGCACATTCTATAGAAAAAAAGTATTTGGGTTCACACATACTCAAGAGTTTTTGCTAAGAAAACAAACAGAAACTTCATAAAAATTACTGTTCAATCAAATATAGGAATTTGCTGAATTATTTTTTTTACTTGGGGAAATAATGGAAGACAGAACAATTGGTTATAATCAATCAATTGTGGTGTGGTTCATCGTGCTAACTGGAATGGTAACCAGACGAGAGGCCGTGGTTCGCCATGTGAATCCTATCCTATCCAAGAAATCATGAATTGCAGCTGTAGGTGTGGTATATCACTATAAAACGATGACATGAAGTCATTTGACTGTAAAATAAGTAAACTTACTCACCCCTTGTCCCCGGCGTGTATTGAACAAATCAATAATTTTATCATTATATAATTCCATGAATTGAGCACTTATAATGAATTCGGGTTGAGGTAGTTCTTCGTCCAAAGCTTTTTGTTTTCTAAATTATAATACCATAAGGTTTAAAATAGCAAGGGGGGAACTAGGATATTGTGTATTGAACTGCAGGTTCCTTTTTCTTGTTTACTTCCTACTTGAGGTCTGAATGTGGCTGTTGAAGAATTCTTGGAAGGGACAGTATTAACGCAATGAAAAGAATATTGCTACTGTTTATTATTCAAAATAAAAGACAATTTTTGCCGTTTAACTGATGTGAAATAATCCTTCATGTGATGATCCAAAATTATATTCAATCTAGCATCTAGAAAAAGAAGTAGCTACATTCAATTACAATTTCACTGATCAATTTTTGATAATCCTTCAAAATGAACTGATGAAATTTGGCATATTGAATCTTCATTCAGATCTTACACCACCCTCCAATATTTATTTATATATACAAGGTATAAAAAACAATGGAAATTCATTATAAATAAAAAACCTTTCTTCTATCCCACTGAAAATTTGGTCCACAGCTCTAGGAATGACACCAAATTCTTCTTCACATCTTGATATATCGAATCCTGTACCCATTGTGTAAGTTTTTCCAGATCCAGTCTAAACAGACAAAAAAATAACTCACAATTACGATTCTTTATACGCCTTTTTCAAAAATGGTCACATAGACATGTTCACAAATATTAAATCAACTTGGAAAACATGTCGTGAGCATGGTATTTTAATCCTGTTCAATGCTCAGCAATAGCACGGGAACGATTTGCATGATTTCTGAACTGTTTCTGATTCCAAACTACACATTTTAGCAATTGATCAAACAGTATATAGGAATTGAAAAATGTGAATTGTCACAAAACCCATATTTGTTAGACATTTGTGATTGAAAAATCATACCTGTCCATAGGCCAGAACAGTGGCATTGTAACCATTGAAGCAACCATCTACCAACTTTCTGACACATGTTTCATAAGATAGTGATTTGCTGTGTGGGCAGATCAAACACGTAATCATATGTAAATCTTTTGTTTTTTCCGATAGTGAGTTGAGGTTCGCCAGGTGGCACAAAAGTGCAAATGCGACAATCATTGATTCTCTCCTTTGCAGATTGTGGTCGAATCCTGAAAATGTAATGTAGCAACTAGCTTATAACCGCTTGTTTACAGCTTACAATCATGTCAGCGCCAATAATAAATTGATGATCTATGTTTTAATTGATACCTTGAAAAAATTGACATATTGACAAAACGACACAATGACTTTGAAGAGAACACTTAGATTTACCATTGCAAATGTTACACAGTCTGGTGCATTTGTACTATGAAGCTTGCATTACTGTTTTTTAAGAATACCACAATATACATGGGGAATTTCTTTCTCACTTCTGTGTTCAAATATGTTAAACCAAACATGTTTGATAACCTCAAACACAGTACTTGGTAGCTATTGTATCAGATTTGAGAAACTTACCATTGTATGTGAATTCTTATTAACTTTGCTTTAATTTAGATAAATTAAATGTCCCATGGATAGAAATAATATTTGCTGTGAAGCTTTTAGCATTGTTCAGTGCAATCAATATTTGTGAACTTTAGTTAAAAGTGGTATTTGGTGAAACATGGCAATACTAAGTACCAGAAATTATTGCCAATAACATATTCTCGACCGACTGTACTCACCTGACAGCCACTCGGACGCTTGTGCCATCATCCTCTTTTGCCATTTTCTAAAGCAGTCTCCCAATATTTACAAACGATTACTATACATCACATTCATATTAACAACACCACATCAGTGACTATCATTAACAAAATCTAGGTGAAGTAGTTATACTAATGAATCTGTAATAACAATAATGCCATTGTTTAGTTTCACTTTCATATGAAACCAATGATCATAAGTAAAACCAATGCATTTTTTATTCAGTTAATTACTTTCAGGCATGTTTAGCTTGGCAAATGACCTTTTTACACATGATTTTTAACACATTTTAATGACACATGGACTCGACTGACACCTCCTGCATATCATAAGTTAAATAATATATTGATATATATTAACACTCTGTAACATTTCATGGATACACTGTGTTTTTTTTATGTGGCCTATTGTTTTGAATGTCAGAAAAATGCTATTATATATTAGAGGTTACAAGAACTTATACAGCGGTGTTAAATAAATTGAAAAGTTGTGCTGATCATATAAACTTATGTCTTCTTCATGCCCGAACATATGGACACAAAAAAGTATCAGCTTTCTAGCGAAAAATACAATCTTTAACCACTGAAAATTTCAAAACAATAGGTCCAGCAATTATAGAGAAATGCAATTTTTTCATAATGATAGGAAGGAAAATTCCAAAAACAACAAGAACAAGATAATAAGAAAGATACACAAGTCTACTTCATGTCCAACAAGCATTTTGAGGGTTGCAGGATAAGAGGGGAAAAAATTATTCAGAAATAAAACAGAAATAGGTGCATTTTACAACTGGTAATTTATTAATAGTTCAATTAGTGTTTGAAGTTTATATGTTTTTTTCAAAACAGCTTTTTCATCTCAGAAGTTTTACCCTTTTGGGTTCTAGCCCTTGAATAACAGGAGCATTGTCGTCTGCTATATGTTCAAGTATGAAAAAATAACATTGGCAAACTGTGGTCATGAATATACCACAATTTTAAAGTACCAACCGAACTAATGGTACCTATGTTTCACCATGTATACAATGATACTATGACTATGAGCCGATATCAATACAATAGAAAACAAGGTTCACTCAACAATTGAAGGATTGATTCTGTTATGAGAGAATCATGGCAGATGGATTCTTCAAATAGGAACGACAAGCTAATCTAAATTTAGAGTAGACTATTATGTACACTGGAGTATGCAATGCTTTATTTATAGGCTATGTGATACGGATTGAACTCTAAATAGCAAATTTGTTATTCCTATGGTTTCTAAAACATTTATCCATAACAGTGGTTTAAAAACAGCTTGAGTGCTAAGTGTATCCTTCCAAATCTATTATTATGCATATGCATTAGAATAGAATGTTCAAAGAAACTCAAAAATGGTGCTCTGCATTAATTCATATAATAAGTTTAAAGCTGGAATTCGTAAGTTTGTTAAAATTTACTTCAGTTCATTTTATTCACTATCATTTTTACTTTCAACTATTTCATTACCTCCAAAATGTAACAATGCACTAGGCTGCTACACCAATATACAGTATTTTAATAAATATCAACAATTTAATAAACAATCATGAATAATTTGTATAATGTACTGTTGCAAATTTCTACCATTCTACCATTTCTACCAGATTGAAGATATAACAAAAGCAAATTTTGACTGGGAAAACTGACCTACAAAATATTATATGACCCACCCAAACATTACACAATAGACTGGACTTTTAAAAACATGCTTCACATTCCTCTTTCGTATAATATATAAAACTTTATATACTGTGGTCATATTATCCTAATATCAAACCATAGTTGAATATATATGAGAGAGATCAAACATAAAAGAAATATGTTTATGATCTCTCGGATTATGTGAAACATCAGTAAACAGAATCAGCAAACAACATTAAAAGTTTAGTTTTATTCTATTCATAGAATATTGTGCAGGAAATGAATTCTTTGGTTGACATGTTCATAACTAATACCTTTACATGTCTTTTACCGAAGAGGCTAATAATAATCTGAAAGCAATTGGAAACTAGTACCCAAGATACTTGTGATGCTGTACTCTCATTACGAACTTACTTCAAATTGAATAATAGAAAAAAATGTTATATTCAACAATTTTTTATTGACCTATTTGTGAAAAACTACATTCAGCATAGCTGTGATTGATGGTACCCAATTTACTATTATTACCACAGTTGAATGTTGCAAATACTTTTTAGTCAGTAATAAATTTATTGATCACAAAACTAAAAAGCAAAAACGTAAAAATGAATCCAAAAAATTAAAATATACTATATGACATTGCATTGATGATTGTATAATAGAACGCACTATTGCAACTATGATTCACAACATGTAAAATACTTCTTTATAAATGGAGGAAATCATTAAGACACGAAATAGTTAATTATGGCACATCAGGTACGATAATTTATAATAATTTCAGGTCCATGACGTGAGCATCAGTTGAATGATATAATTAGACTCACCTGAACGAATATACAAATACTGATGATGAATGGTCTGGTTCAGAACGAGTATGATTGCAGCATACGCGCATAAAAAAACCTTCAAAAATATGTATGGTATTTGTCAATCTTGATTGACAATCCATTGATGACTCACTACCCAGAGAATACAACCCACCGTGTGTATGATTAAACTTTCTACATCTTTGATCATAATATGTTAATAAACAAGTTTAAAATAAATTTAAAACAATCTTTCAAATTCTAGCTGTGGTGTCTCAAGCAGTGAAGTTTATCATCTAGTTAGAAAATTATGTATTTAGCAAATTAAACATGAGAAAAGTATATGGATCTGCCAAATCCATAACATTGTAATCAAAATTGCTGAAACAAATAAAAAATATGATACATAAATATCTTAAGTGATAATTACTTGTGCAGGTAGAGTTACTAAGAATAAGAAACATACATATTTAGACACAAAAACAACTAGGCAATATCAACAACAAAAAGTATTGAGGAAATAATAAACAATGCACCAAATAATACACCTGAATGAAGATTGGAAATCCTTATTTAAAAAATGATCAAAAATGCAAAAAACAGAATATTATGTAGGTTTGGGCTCATATTTTTGAACAAGTGATTGTAAAAATGAATCCCCTGCTAAATTTCTCCATTTGCCTATTGGAAATCTTATTTCCTCCTCCTATGCATAAAACTATTTGTTCAATCTTAAATGGATCCTTCGCTAGTGTTGTGGACAAGTTGCACTCCTGTCATTATACAGTTCGAGTAGTTTATTATGTGTTCATGGTATGGATAAGTATAAGTAAATCGTGGAGGTGGCTTCATTTGCTGATTTAATTAAGCATAGATGCAAATCATTTTGAACTTACAAACAATTTTGATGCTATGTTTTCTACACACGCATTGCATCAAATCCATTCTTAATTAAAGAGACAAGTTGCAAAAATAAAATCAACTTTTAAATGACAAAGATAGAAACAGTCGAATACACTTTGCCCATGGGAACCCAAAATTAGATAATTGCCAAATCATTAGGGTATTTTTCTATAAAAGACATAAAACAAAATCAATTTGTTCTTTCGGCCGTTTTCTTTGATACTCGCAACATGGAGGAATAATCAGAAGGTTGAGGTGGATTTGATTAGGCTATATTAAATATCCAATCATTTTCATTAGTATTTCACTTCATTTGTCCACAATGTTGAACTTTTTATAAAATTCTCATTAAGATGGCTAAAATTCCTATTACTGTAAATTCCTATTACAGGCGCACAGCATTGTTAATCAGAGCTTGAATAGGCTATTCAGTTATATCCGTATATGGTCAAAATTAATACTGTAATACAGTAATAGGTTGCTGTTAGGTTTTTATGTCGTGACACTTCTCACATTTTGAATTATTATTAAGCAACAGTTCAATTATAACAGTATAAGTACAAAATAACCAAATTTAGTAGAAAATAAAATCAACATATATCTGGGACGCAACACTCAGACTTTGGGTAAAGACCCATAGACTACAATAGGCCAACCTATGCAATTTGTCCATAAATCTCTGAAATCAAGATAATAGACTTGAACAACTAGAATATTTCAATATTGACAACATAGGATAGGATTTACATATTTATCTCGGGGGAGAGGAAAGTCGATAGTACGGCTTAACCATATGGCGAACCACGGCCTCTCGTCCGGTTACCATTCCATGTCGGGTATGGAATTAGATAGTTATTTGTTTTCGGAAGCGTGGACTTGACCTACATACAGTACTGACATGTACGTTAACAGACCTACATAGTACTGTCAGACTGTAGTATTGCTGTATTGTCTGACTATAGTGCAGTAGCAATCAAAACAATAAATAATAATAAACAAACAATAATCCCTCAGGTGAGTGAACACGTCTGGCATACCGGTACCAGTACCACTTCTTCTTGGCAAAACCTTCCATCTTCAGATCTTATACCGGTCGGTACCGGTATAGTCTACATTCTGTACCGGTACCGTATGCCCAATATCTGAATATATACCGGTACGCGGTACCGTAAATCCTGAAATCAGCGGTTCCCAATCGAGGCCCTCGAAGGGGGGCATTGAGCAGTTGGACGGGAGGACTAAATTTACTATTCGCTTGACAAAAAACTTACTGCTTAAAGCCTCTGGAAGGGATCCACAAAAGTTTGTCGAACACTTCTAGCGTTATAAACCCACACCACACATGTAGCGGTACGGTATTATTCATTACAAACCTCAAGGCCAACAAGTGCACTGCAAATCAAAATAGGCTTTGACAACTCAATCCGTCTTATGCAACCTGGCGGAGTTGTGATCAGCGATCCAAAAATGTCCTTCCATCTATAATTTCTGCTATCTTTAGATCTTAACAGTACATAAAGCGCTGCTCAAGAAAACAAGAACAAGAAAAACTAACGGAAAAGCACGGAAAACATAGCAATCCAAATAAAACAAGAGAGCTATGCTCAAATATATGGACACGTAAAGTCACATAATTTTGATGACGTCATAGCGAAAAAAAAGTAATAGCCTTCTGGAGAAAATTTTTATCTTTAACCACTGAAAATTTCAAAGCAATTGGTCCAGTATTCGAAGAGAAAAGCGACTTTTTAAAAACGTGTCGAAGAACAAGAACAACAACAACAACATAATATTGAAACGATCGTTATGTCCACTACGTGTCCAATAACACAAAAAAGCAACTCATTCTCTAATAACATTTGTGTCGTGGAGCAGTGAGTTCCTCTATTCCATCTATTCTATATAATGAGAATACCTCCTCAAAGCAATTAAACAACTACTTTGGATATATTCAATATTTCAGCATGTTGTTCCCCTATATGCAATCATTGAAACAGATACTCGCAGATTTCTTTTTTGGACACGTCAGTGTACATAACGATCGTTTCAATATTATGTTGTTGTTCTTGTTGGTATTATTATTCTCTTTCGTCATGATGAAATCGGTTTTCTCTTCGAATACAGGACCAATTGCTTTGAAATTTTCAGTGGTTAAAGATTGATTTTTTTGCCAGAAGGCTATTACTTTTACTTATTTCAAAAATTTCTGTGGAATTCAAGAGATTCGTTTTTTATGTCTCAGAATAAAAAATAGCGACACCTTTTGACGTGTCCATATATTTGAGCACAGCTCTCTTGTTTGTTTTTCAGGTTGCTTCACAATGATCGAATGAAGAAAAAAAAATACGAAAAATATTAAATAAAAACTCTGATGAATCCTCCATATTAATTTTGAAGTGATCCTTCGAAATAACAATCTTAATTCGTATACCATTGTCTGAAGTCAATGTTTAAAAATTAAAAAAAAAATTACTCACACCTGGGGATGGGCAATGTAGTATAATTTACTATTCTAGAATACTTGAATCAAATCCAGAATACCGAATCTTATTCTATTTGTATTGTTATTCAAATGTGGGAATTCTCCCACCATATTGATAGATAATATAAAATAAATATATACAATATATATAAAAAGTAGAATTGTGATGATGATATAAAACTAATCAATGCATTTTTTATTGAAAATAATCTTGAGCCACTCAAATTGAACAAATTACCAAAATAGCAAAAATGATAATCAATTTCAACTATAATCGGGCAGTATATATACCATATATATTTTTTTTAATTTTTATGTACGCAGATTGCAGTATTTCGGAGCAATAATACTTTTATTTTATTGTAAATACGCGCAACGGTGAGTTACGTTGAAAATAATAAAATTAATATGGCAAATCGTCTTTAACACTCGCACCGGACTATTTTGCGCAGCAGAAAAATCATCATCGCTGAAAAAATCGACAGTTTTAATGGCATTATCGCGAGCGAGAACTGTTTTGATCGGAATTTTCGTTCCCGATTGTAAATACAGAATAAAATTTACTAAAAATATTCGATAGTGCAAGTTATCTGGCATTCCCTACGAAGTATAACTGTTGATTCTTTCGTTACTGAAATCCTACTTGTGGTAGGCACGGGTTCATCAAATCAATATTGATAATATTGACTTGAGATTATACCTGACTATATTTCGTCAAATATTAAAAAACTTTGTTGAAATTCATTCATGTTATCAAAAACAACATGCACCACGATTATATAGTCTATTCGTTTCATTGATTTGCAATAAATTTGTTTGTAATTTCATGTTTTGTTCTAATGCTTGGGGTGATGATAACGTGAAAAGTACTGCAAGGGGACGTTTAGAAAACCGATCAATTTGGAAGTGACAACCATTATATAATTGTTAATATGGTGCGACAAGTATTTTGTTATTTGTTTATTCATTTTATTATTTTTATTTACTAAGTAATTTATCTATTGAGTTTATAGCGTTTTTTGAGTTTATAGCGTGGGTGACAAGTTTCCCTCTGTTGTTGAACGACGACGATTATCACGGTAGCGCTTAGCGCATTCCCTGCACCAACCACTATATCTTAATCAGAATTTTTAAAGTTAACAAAATCAATAAATTTTTGTCGTTTCCATGTCCCTTTGTACTTGTAGTCCTATTTAGTAGACGCTAAACCTAAATTTGACAGTTATTATTAAATTTTATTTCAATGGGAATCCCATGGGATGGGACAGAACAATATGCCCTAGGCTGTTAATTATATAAATAGCTAACAACGGGGCCTCGCAGGGTTAAAGGTTCATGTGGGACCTTTTCAGGGAAAGCACCCTTTACCGGGTAAAATTAACCGAGTGACGTTTGACGTAGGCATGTTATATATAATTGAAGCTTGTTACGTCCCAATGTTCGAAAGCAATTCCGAGTGATCAGACGCTTCCTCACGATGCGTCTGCAAATGGCGACATTAAATAAGAATGAAGAGTCCATATCACTTATGTTGATTAATTCATTTGTCGACCCAATGCAATGCCCAATAAATGTCACAATTAGGTTAAGTAGGCATATTGATACCGAAAATGTCCCGTTATTTACTTTAATATTACATCTGTTCCAGAAGACATGTTGATATTGCTTTGTTCGACTCAAACCCACCGATAAACTACAAGCAGTACTATGACATATAAATACAAATTTATTAATCTGAACAATCTTTTGGTAACAGTGGATAACATTATGCATAATGTATATACAAACATATTGGTCTACCATAATAACACTCTTGAAATAAGTACAGGAAAAAATACAAGCGGGAAAGTAGAATATTTGTTGTTTCCGGCAGAATTGCATTCCATCTCTGAATCTGTAAACTGTTGATCAACGGGAAGACCGATGTTCCACAATTTCCAAATCTTCCATGTTCTTTTGCAGTGACTGAGCCTTTTACTCACACAAGTTCCAAAATTGACCCATCTGAAATGGTGTATAAATGATAAAAAATCGACGATACCAACACTATCGACGGGGCTTGATGGAGACGAAAATGTGAAAACACTTTGAAAATAAGGAATCGGCTCCGAATGAAAATACGAACAGTGGTTTGATCGGCTTATATAGCCTATTACTGCTATAGTTGCGAAAACGGGACAAAAATAAATGACGCCTGACTGTCCACAGGTGGGTATAGCAATCAAAGTTGCGCTAGATTCAACAGAAACATTTTATCATAGTTGGAGGTTTATGAAAGCGTATACATACGTATTTTACATTTTTGTTACATATATATATACCTGCAATCTCCTGCTGAGTTCTTTGTCGTGTTCCAGTTTTCTAATCCTTCGAAACATTCGTCGAATATTTGACTCAATCCACGAAGCTCGCAGTTTTCAATGTCGACTATCAATGAAAACATTAAGATAATTTTAATACACATAAAAATTGAACAGAACTAACTCTTTTGAAAACTACTTCTCGGATACTACTGTATTACATTCATGTTAATTAATGTGGCAGGATAGGTACTATACTATATGAACCACCAACAACTCCAAAAGAATACAATCCTTTTGACCTTTTCGCATAGACTTCTGCAAGTATCAACAATTTATCATTACATATATAATTTATTTCATTGTTTACGTGATTCGAAAACCGTAACCACGATTTTATGCTTTTGTTTTATGCCGAAATTGGCAATCCCTTGTGCCTTTCTGACTATATGTACTATCCAATGTGCTTACGGGTACTCACGAGTAGTTTGGTCTTTACAATTTTGATCTTCCGTATTAAAAAATACTTTGTCGCCCGCATTATGATTCCAGTAAGGAAAATATTCCCACACACCGTCAATACAATTGTCTGTTTGAACGCCAACACAAGCCTGGATATTTAAAATATTATGTAGTTTTTTTCAACAAGTACTTTAAAAGGAAACTTCATTTATCTATCTATATATATATGCGAATTGACATTAGGCAGATAGCGAGCCTTAACAGTAAGCTTTTTTAAATACTAACCGTAAATGCTCTGAAACGACATCTGTATACTTTACTATCCGTATGGTCATAAAACTCGTCACCCGGTATTGCACAGGAATCGAAAAGTTGCAATGCACGCTGTCTTCCACAATCTGAAGTGATAAAATGTGCACAAATTTACTAGCAATTCAGCCATATATATTTGAAGATTCAGAATTAAATTTTGAAGAATATTAATAATATCACAGATCAGTAGTTCTTGAACTTTTTGAGCCGCGCCCCCCTTTGAAAAATTTTACATTTATGCATCGCCTATTTTTGCTTTGCTTTTGTGATGGGCAGGTTGCTACATATTGAGATGGCGCTATAAGAGTGTTGGTCTCATATAGCGTCATTGCTCAAATTCTTTAGGCATAAAACGCTTCGGAATACAACTTTGCCATTCACTGTCGAATGTATAAAGCCAAATAATGGTTGGTCATCATACATTCTCGTTTTTCCCCTCAGTATGCAATACCTGGTAAAGTCAAACTAATTTTTAAGTAAAACTAAACACGCAATAAACCTATGCTTTAATGTATTTTCTGCTTAAACGTTTACATAAGACACCTAAAATTTCAATCAATTGTTTACTTCATCACTATTGAGCGATGTCAAAATTATTTACTGTGTGTTTAAAATAAGCAACAATTACAGACTTCTTGGCTTGCCTAGCGTTTCAAACAAAATGGAGAAGTACAAATGAATTTATGTAAATTTAAAAGCAGTTCATTTTTTAATAGTTATTATGCATGTTGACGTTTCCCCGGCCCTTGACCGCTGAAAAATAAAGTCGCTAAGGCGTTTGCGATTGCATTTTGTTTAAATCTCGATTGTTTTCGTAAGCGTGGCCTGCTATGCCGTAAAAATCTTGATTTTGGTGTTTATTCGCCCTAAATCAGAAATTACCCTCGAGATATTCTTGTGTCGCGAAGACGATTATAATTACTTTTTTTGTTTTCGAATAGAACCATGACACCTCTGAGGAAAACGAGTTAGTTTTTATTATATCATCATCAGCGACGAGATGCTAAAGATAGAATAAAGTAGTGAATCTGCAACCAAATATTTCTTTATTGTAAAAGCGAGATTATAAATTAATAAAAATAAAACGGAAAACACCATGAGTTTTGTTTTGGGGTGGACCGCAACAGATTAAAAACACTTTCTTAGACATTGCAAATCTTATAAATTCGTTGTGCCTGCGGCTCACCAGTAGTGTTCTAAAACTACTGACTTGAAATAAATTTTACTCAATGGGATTTTATCGCAGATTAAGGAATTTCTGTAACGATGTTAAAATTAATCGAGCATTGCGATAGAGCGGAGTAAGAGTTGCAGGGACAGCTCATAATGGTGAAATTGGCAAGAATACAAATCAAAACAAAATGTAATCGGGCACTTTGCCACACATTTTTATGGTTGCGGATTACCGTGGTATTTTGGAGTAGTGGTGCTTTTATTTTATCGACGCAATCGCAGATTTAATTTATCACAATTAAATGAATAAAGCAACCATTTTAAATGAATATTTTATTCAACACGAAAACCATTACATATCCGTTGACAAAGTCGGCTCTTATAACGACTGGCGTAATCTCGAGGACTGACTCAGGATATGTACCGCGGGGATTTCGAGTCGATGAATATATATGTTTTTTAATTGTACTAAATTAGGTATACTTTCTGGGATATTATACCAGATCTTTTTAATGAAGACAACGATTTCGCATGAGTGCGATATATATTAAAACTAAATATAATCGGGCAGTTGATCACCTTTTAACATGTCCGCGGATTGGCGTGGTGTTTTAGATCGGTAATGAGTTTATTTTGACATGAGTCGCCGCAGACGCGAATTACCTTGAACACAAATGAACTAAAATAGAGAGACATTTGGAATTCTTGTAGTTATTACGAGACAGAAAAATTTATTATACCACGAAAAAGCCGTTTTTTTTTAACGAACGCGCAGACCGTTTCAGGAGCCGTTACATGTAAATTTCCGATTCTATCTTGTGACCTCTCGAGCCCCCCTGTGAGCATCTCCCAGTTTAAGAACCACTGTCATAGATGATAAATCAATTGTTTAACATACTTACAGTCGGGTCTCTCTGTCGTTGTATTTTGGGGTGCCGTTTGCGAAGATGTCACAAACGGGGCAATAGTTGTTGCTGCCGTTGAATGAGTCTCTTGTAGCGTGGCTGATGAATTACCACCATAAACGGGTGAATGATAGTTCTCTGTTGTGGCAGTCTCATTTACACCTTCGCTCATGAAAATAGTGGTTTTTCCTGGCGGTGTATTTGTCACCACATTTGTACTGCTGACATTAGTATTCGAGGCAGCAGTTGCCAGAATGCCAGACGTTGTGGCCCCCGATGTTTGATTGGTTGTTGCTATTGTATACGTGGCCGTACGATTTACTTCGTAAGTAGTAGCTATTGTGGAAAAATTAACAGCATAAGAGGTGTTTTCCGTTCTGTTCAACAATGAGACCGTGGTGGGTGCAATTGTCGTGGGAGCTGTTGTTGACAACTTTATTTTAACCTTTCGTGTCCTTGGTCGCCGCGTAGTTCTTATTGTGGTTTTGGGAGCTGACGTAGGTGGTGGAAACATTTGCAAATATCGTAATCCGGCGACTGTAGCCTGGAACGCGGCGTTGAATGTCAGACATACTTTATTCGACCGAGCATTTGATCTGTCATCCACAAATTGGTCCTTGTGATCAGGGCCGCCGACTACCGCACCATGTAGTATCTGAGGATTTTTTTCTTTGGAATACAAGGCTGTAAAATTGCAAGGTGTCGGACCCAAAGGGCAAGAACTGACGCGATGATGCGGTCGTTTCGGTGGGCTTGGACCATACCCAACCACGTAACTTCCCACGCCACTATCTCCCAATATGTAGTGGATTTGATTTTTTGCAAATTCTCGATACTGCTCCGGTCTTATTCCTAATTCTGCCGAGATGAGGCATATAAGCGATGCCCCTGATGCAAACTGCAACGGGGACCACGATCTTCGGTATAGCAAACCTTTGGGGGTGTATTTACCTTCGTACAGCATATGGTCACAAAACTTCCTTGACTCGTTGAGATACAAAGTATCGCCTGTTAGTTTGGCCAAAAGCACATTGATAGCAGCTGTTTTGTCGTCCCAGTCAAAATCTTTAGGGAGAAAGCGATTGAAACGAAATTGTCTATATTTAGACTTCGCTTCTTTCAGGTAAGCAGTTTTATTGGTTGCCAGATGTAACCATATACTCGCCCACACAAGTTCATCTTTATATCCGTTGAATGATGGGTAAAACTGCGCTGCATCGGGAATTGATCTGCAAACAATTTAACAAGTTATTAACAAATTAAGTAAATGGGTGATATATATGGGTCATAAAAACATATACGAACAACTGGAAGCTTTAATTGATTACTGAAATTACCTGTGGTAGGAATCACGATATTTGTCGGCAAACTCATACAATTCCTCTGCATGTTTGATCAGTAAATCGGCATACTTCACATTTTCACTTCTCAGGGCAGTTGCAGTGGCGGCCATAGCCGCAGCCGTTTCTGCGGCAAGTTCGGAACCAGGAAACCTTTTCGAGATTTTGAAAGCAGGTCGGATGTAATTGATGTCTTCTGGCCTGAGCCAATGACTGTGTTCAATGGCGCTGGAACCAACCTAACAGATTTAAGTTTATTTTTAAAAATCAATAGGAATGACGATTTATATCAAATCAATTATTACATTCGGCAAAATTCAGACAAACATCTGCATTTTTATCGATATCAAAAGATTCAAAGTGCCTTTTATTCAACTTGACAATTTATTTACTTTTGCTATACTTAGCTCGTTCTGATTATAACTGTTTATCAGATGAAACATTGTTGTCAGATGAAACAAGTACTTCACTTTTATATGGCCTTTAGACTCAACAAACCGTGTTGACATGACTCAATTTGAAAAATTACAAATTTTGCTCAGTTGCATATAAAAGTAACCAGAATAAAGAAACAGTTTAAGTTGATCAGTTTTGCATACCTGGCCGTATAATTCATATTTTTCAGTGTGGCATTTCACGAAGTAATCCGTCGACCAGCGTAGTAACGATTGTATTGCAATCTTTTCGCCAGCACTTTCATACGACTGTGGATACATGATAAGACTCCAGGCCAACACAGTTGTCGTAAATGCCATAGGGAAGTTGAACTTAATATAGTCTCCGCCATCAAAAAAACCGCCGCTCAAATCATGCTTTTCGCTGCTCTTGTCATTCACGCAAGCTGACTTTCTCCATGTTATACGAGAACTCGGTGGTAATCTTCCTGATCGCTGTGCTTCGTAGAACATATTTGAGTATCTGAGTACCTGACCGTAGTCGTGGTGTTTATCAAACCGGGGAAGAATTGCTGGCATTAACTCTCCTGGTTCGGGATCCGAAAATGTTTCTGAGGAAACTTGGATTTGCAGAATCCCAGCTGCTAAGGTTTGAAATCCGGCGTTATTATAGACACTAACCTTATTAGATTCTAAATTTCTGTCATCGACGTAATTATCCCATATATCAGGACCACTGACGAGAGCGCCAACGAGTTCATTTGGATTAGCTGCATCAGCTTCTCTATCCAGCCAGGAACAACGCTGTGGTGCTTTTGGGCAACTGCTTGCTTTGTGATAAGGTCGTTTTGGAGAAGCTTTCCCGTATCCGACTACAAAACTTGATCCTGAGTCACCTATTTATAAAGAAAATATCATTAAATTTATAGGCATATAGAAAAATCATTGTTATGTTAGGATTTGAACCGGTGTGGTAATAATATTTTAACAGATGGTGGAAACTCAGTGCTACTGAAACAGTAAGGGAAATGTTAATTGTAGGTACAAATACTACGGGAGTCACTTGGCTAGTCCCCGAACTCGTAATAGAACTAAAATAAGGAAAAATTGGAATAAAATTATGGCCTAACCCTAACCTGGTACACATATTACGTTCCGGTGTCCGCCATCTTGGTACGCATACTTCAGGAGCACCATTTATAGTATACATATAATATGTGAACCTAATATATAGATATATTTATGTATATATGGCTCTGCCCATCTCAAGCTCATTTATTCAGCATGTCGGAAATAGGCTGATCGCTTCAGATAATTACAGGATTTAATTTAAGGAACGTGAATTTAAATTATCATACATTCTTCACAAAAAGTCCCATACCTAGAATATAGTTGAGTTGTTTTTGTGCAAACGCTCTGTATACGTCAGGTCTGAGACCAACATTAGCAGCAAAAAGGCAAATGAATGCAGTGTTGCTTGCTAGTGACGTAGTATCTTTCTTAGAAAGAAACAGCAATCCTTTGTGTGTATAGTTTGCTCTGGTACCAGGCAATGAAGAGTCACAGAAATCCAATAATTTGACTCTATATTCGGTTCTACAAAATATAATGCATATATAGAACCAATCTAGGTTTGATTATTCCGCTGAATCGAGATTTTAACTACGGGCATAAATAGGTCGAATTAAGTGATAGAATATGAAAATTTCGTTTATGCTAAACCAGGTAAGGCAGCCTGAGCTTCCATGAATTTACCTATATTCAAAATCCTAAATTTGCGTGGTATATGTGGGACAGGGTGACCGTACATTTGAACACATGTACATTTGAACCCATGCGTATATCCACGGGTTAAATCTATATTCGGGTGCTAAAACCCATGGGTTAGGGTTAGTATGGGTTTAACTATCCGTGAAACAAAAAAAATTCCATAGGTGCAATAGCATACAGGTGCAATTGTCATGGGTTGTCATGTACGTGGGTTCAAATGTAATGTAACCGTGGGACAGTAATGCGGCGTGCACAGCTAATGAATGATTCTGAAGCAGAATGTTAATTTGTATAAATAAATTGACACAAAGCAAGGTTGCTATTTCACACCCTAAATATAGATGCTTCATTAACAGAAGAGTCCCAAGCAATCTTGGGCTCAAAAGCTTCAAGTGTATTCATTGTTTCTATGAAGGTACTCGTACATACTGGTTTAATACGTGACTTGAAGCGCTTTCAAATCAACGCCAGAAGGAGGAAAGTTTAGCGGAAGAACATGCCGCATAACAGGTGTTATTGGAAAGGAAATGTTACGATATAGATCGGTAACCACTGCAAATTACAATTAAAGAGTGAGAAGCAATTCTTTTACTAAATTAGATAATTTAAATGGACGAAAGTTGTGAACTATTCATCCCTGCTATGGGTGTTTGGACTTGTGGTATTAACTCCTGACTTACCGGTTTGTCATCTGCGCTAATAGACTGATGACCGCAATTCTTTTGTCATTCCATGTAAGACTGTTGATTGGTGGACTTGTCCCAGCTTGAGCCAATCGTCTTTTAGCTATGTGTAAATACTCAGTATCTGTTGTGATTCCGTACAGCCAAGCTGCTGCCCATGCAAGCTCGTCAAAATATCCCGTTGAACTGATGAGATGAGATCAACATGTAAGCCAACACAGTTTTTTAGTTAATTTTGTATATTCTGGGAATGGAAATATGTTGAATTGGGCTCTTATACATCGAAAAGAACATGAAAGACAAATGCATTCAACCATCGCAGCAACCAGATTGATTGTAAACCATCAAATTGGACAGAAAGTAAATGAACGGTGTTATAGAATGCCCAATTCGGGTATTATGATAAATTTCAACCACTGAAAACGGAAAAAAAACTTTGACATAACTACCATTATCATAAGAAGTTTTATAGTATTGCACATACCCGTATTTCGATTTTGCTTCCGTTATTGAATCGTCATATTTCCCCCGATATCTATCTGCAAATCGGAAGAGGGCGATCGAATGATTGGCAAGTTCTTCGGAATATTTTGGATTCGTCCTTTTTAAAGTTATTGACGCAGCGGCGAAAGCTGCTGCAGTCTCAGCAGCGAGATCAGAACCTGGTCGATTTCTCGTGATTTTGTAAGACGGACGAGCGCCTTGCATATCTTCTGGTCGCCCCCAAACCGCGTTGTCCACGTCTTGATTCGAAACCTGACAAAACAAAGTAATATTGAAACTTTAATACAAAATAACAATTGTTATGTTACATACCTTTCATTTAAGGTAAAAACTAAATAATGTGACAGTGACTTCATTTAGAGGCCAGTTGTTGTTATGCTATTGGGTTCAGACAGGCTCGGACATATATATATATATATATATGCAGTGCTAACGTTGTGAATTGTCATGGTGTGAAATTTTCACTTCGTTACAACTAAAATTGTTTGCACATTCGGACTCATTCAGCACCAAAATTGCTTTCGTGCTAATTTTGCTGATACACACACACACACACAAAAAAATAAAAATAAAAAGCACTTAGATGTGAAATGCAAAAACAAATCCGTAGATAGCATTACACACATATGCGGAAAAATATGCACCGAGCGGTTCGCTAAACATTCTCCCACCAAAAACCCCGATTGGGGCACGATTTTCTTCAAGACCATAACATTCTGGGCTAAAACAACTGGCTCTAGGCGTTTCTTACATACACTTCCGTTTGTTGAAACTTACTAACAATTTCTAAGCAATTAGTCCAGTAGCTTTTTTGCATCAATAATAAAAAAAAAATACTACAAAGAGTTAGCGAAGTGATCCAGGTCCAGGTTACTAACTGATCATAATTACCTGTCCATAAAATGAATGAACGCTTGTATGACACTTGAGAAGGTAGTCAGCTCCCCATTTTATGGCGACGAGAACATTCCCCAGTTCTTTAGCAGCAACGTATCCCCGTTTGAACTCGATAGCACCCCAGGAAAGCAGTGATATTGCGGATGCCAATGGGAATCCATATTTGACATGCCCACCACCTGGATCGAAATAAAATGAATTGCAGGATATAAGTATGAAGTATGAGTATGTAATACTTAGCTAGAAGGTACTTTTACCAACAACTTGTACTATTTCGATGATCAATTACTTTTTATTTGTCTTTATTACAGCTTCGCGTAAGTACCACTGTGATAATTAGCTAACGATTATTCAAAAATGCGACACATGCGAACCTGTATAGTATCCACCAGTGAGATCAACTCCGTTATCAGAACCATCTCTCAATGCTGAATGAGATCGCCATGATATTCGGTTTGTAATCGGAAGATTTCCTGATCTCTGTGCTTCAAAGAATAATAATGATTTCTTGATTACTTCACGCAGATTGTGTCTGAAATTCTTGGTTATAGGAGGAGGTGTGCTGAAAAAAAGAAAAATGGAATTGTGTGTCTGTTCTGTTCTGGTACTATCTGTACAAAACTAAATCTTGGTGATGTGAATTTTTTGTACCATGAAATTTTTGACTGCCTAAATACAGGGGTTGGCAACCTTTTGTCACTCGCGGGCCAATATTAAAGGTTGCACGTCATTGGTGGGCCGCACATATTTTTAGAAAATTAAAAACCGTACGGATGAGCAATGAATCACACCTTTTCACACAGATCAGACGTTAAATTTTAAGCAGCGCGCGAAGACTGACCATTTGAATATTTTCTGCGCCATTAAACCATTTGCACTAAGCATCAACTTTTCTGCGTTTTGCTGCCATTTGTCTAATTATTTATATATTTAAATTAATTAAACGCGTAATTGTGAATTATATACTTGTTAGGTTTTAATATAATTTAGTCTACACGTGACTCAAACTAAATTCCGTTACGTACAAATATAGTCGTCAAAACAGCTGTTTTGTTACTATAATTATTATTAAGTGGAGCGTCGCGGGCCGGATTATACTGGTCTGTATAATCGACCGTAGGTTTCCGACCCCTGTCCTAAAAGATTGGTTTGATTCCATTCTTCACTTTACACCTAATTTTTCATATTTTTACTTTGCAGGCTCGTTTTTATTTTTTTAAGTATACAGTACATCAGCGGTGTGCAAGAGGGCCAGATACAAGCAACTGGGTGAAGCCGCGGGCCGCCCCTTTATTTAAGATAGCCTTTCTAGAAGATACAGGCACAAAAAATGTTTTTTTTTTTTTGTTATTGATCTTACGGCATTGTCAGGAGTCTTTGAAGAAATGGTGAGTTAATTAAACGCAGAAATTTCTAAAGAAAACTGCTATTCAAACTTATTGTCACGCCGACTTCAAACGAATTCAGTGAGAAAAACGTTTTGATAACATTGTGTATTTTGCTAGCTAGTTTTGCTAATATGACAGTGGCACTCGGGCACTGGTATAGGCTTTACGACGCAGAGATTGGAATTACTTGCACGTACCAGATTATCTAAACTAAAAACTCGTTTCGCAGGCACACCATTCAAAATTGGCACTTCTCCGCGGGCCGCAGTTTGGCACCCCTGCAGTACACGATGCTAGAAACGGGAACGAGCAAATATTGTGAAGTGAGACGGCCATTCATATTATATTCCAAAGTGTAACACCCTGATAATTCGTGTTAAGTTCTGTAAACCTAAACCTAATCTTCTCACCTTCTTGTTGTGGGCGGCAGAGTGGATGATACAGTAGGTGTTGTAAGAATATTTATTGGGTCGGTTTTCCATCCAAACCACGGTAACCTTGTTGTTGGTGGTAATGTTGTTGTTGTCGGTGGAATAGTTGTTGTCGAAGTCGCTGTGGTGGTTGTAGTTACCGAAGGTTCACTTAAAATACCAAATCTATTATTTACAACTTTCTTTTATTTGTAAAATGTTGGTTTATCAAGAGGTAGCATCAGCGATATTACAAAATATTTCAACGTGGACGTATTTCACGTAAATAGACAATAATAAAACTCATGTCGTGATAGGAAAGCAAAGAGAGTAATCAAATATACGCGTATATTGGCCAACTGCTTCATTGAGACTCTTTCAAGGAAATTCAATCTTTCATTTGTTAACAGTTTTACAATACTTATATATACCTTGTCTGTTTTGGCATGTTTTCGGCACGCTTCAACGCATCGTGTATGGACTCTGTCGCTGTGAGATGAGGAATAAATAAAACTTCGGCGTCAGGAGGAGGGATGTAAACTGAATATAAATAATTAGGTTATTTACCAGTGAATAACAACAAACTTTTGTTTGAATTTTCTGAACAAACTGGACACATTCACTCAGATTTGAAGCTGCGGATTTGGTTCCGAATATAGTCCACTTCGGAGTAGATTATGTATTTTCGTGATAAATTGATTCTTGTAGAAAAATGTTTGTTCTAAGTTTGTTGGCAAAAATTCTACTGGAGTCGCACTTCCTCAAGTTTAGTTAAAAATAAATCTTTGTTTGATCTCGCGAATTTATCGCAGTTATATTCACATAACCTGTCAAGCTTACAGGAATCTTAATAAACAGATATGACAATATACGTAATCATCCAGCAAAGAGCCGAAACATCTTTTAACAAAAATGTTTAACTTGATAGTAAGTGTTTGTTGCTTACCTGATCTATCATGTGTAGGATATTGATTGCCTTGCAAATATAAATTCATTAACTTGTCCTTGTAATGATATATAACATAATTGTAATCCTTGTGCGAGAAGACATATTCTTTGTTATTTGGATGGCCATCAACGAGTTGGGCTTCAAAGACCTAACAAGACAGATGTTGTTTTTAACAAAAAAGTTTACTAGAAGAATGATCTCATAAGCTCGTTTTACAACCTATCCGAGCTTTCAAATATGTGGAGAAGAATTTTCTTCCAACACCTAAATATTCGAAAATTCGACCCTGGTCATAATAGTCATCGTATATTGAAAACCTTGTACCTGTTCTAATTACTAAATATTAATACTCACGTCCAACTCTCGTACTGGAATTTCAAACTTCATGTATAAAATCCACCCATAATTATGTCTCTCGGCTATTGGTATTACTACTTTTGCTAAAAATCCGGTGTCCCACTCCTGTTCCAATACAAATTTACATACGACTACAGAACATTGGCATTGCTGTACTATTACAAGCAAGATTAAAAAAAATTTCAGACCTAACATAACCACTTGCAAAAATCAAGATGGTTTCTCTGATTGATAGAAAACATAACTGCGATAAAGTCGTAACGCGACTCATTTACGAGACAGATTTACGCCTCTGGCCACTTATGATAGCCCGAGGCGATTAATATGATGATTTCAGTAATATCACAGTTTTCAGAGAAAGATCGTAAAAACAAACTGAAGATTACAGTGATTGTTTAGCGGCATTGTTTCGAATTTTTCTGATCAATCTTTCTGTATTATTTTTTCTAGCGGTTTATGTATGGTATATATAGCAGTCTTTTCTGCTCCAATAAGAGAATTTGATTCGTTCTCTATGCTTGCAAAATTACTACTAAATTACTTTATGTAACAGATTCTGTTCAATGAAATATCCAGCGAATACGGCATGATTGCGAAATCCATAACTGGTTCTGGTGATGTGAGATTCTGACTAATCTATTTGATTTACTTTCTTTACTGTATCATTTTCCATGTAGATATAAAGTATATATTGAATGGAATCAAGAAATACTAACAACGTCAAAATACCTTAGCTAAATTTGAAGTAACTGTTTCTGACAGTCTAGTAGTTGAATTTTTCTCGTTTTCCATTGTGCCATTTGTATTGTAGAATGAAAATTTAAAGTGAATCATAAGAATTCAAGAAAATTTCATTTTGAATGTTGGAATGATAAAATATATTCGAATTAAGATCGCCCCAAAAGCATCTATTTATAATATATACAGATCTTATAATGATATGCAAAAGATTAAGCCGGGATATTGGACCTGTACTATGGATCGTTTTGTTATTGAACACGTTAGTGGACATAACGATCGTTTTGCATTTTATGCTGGCACTCTTCTTCTTCTTGTTGTTCTTGTTCTTTGTCACAGAAAAAAATCGCTTTTCTCTTTGATTACTGGAACAATCGCTTTGAAATTTTCAGTGCTCAAAGATTGACTTTTTCGCTAGAAGGCTAGTACTTTCATTTATTTCAAATATTCCGGTGAGCTATATGGGATTCGTTTTTTTTTTGTGTGTGCTATGACGCCATCGACATTTGTCACTAGGTGGCGCTACGTGTCCATATATTTGAGCATAGCCTTCTTTATATATACTTGTTATGTTGTTCTTGTTCTTTTCGTAACTTACTATTGTTATGAAAAAAATCGCTTTTTTCTTGATTACTGGACCAGTTGCTTTGAAATTTTCATTCGGTAAAGATTGTATTATTCGCTAGGAGGGTATTACTTTCAGTTATTTCTAAATTTTCTATGAATCCTATGAGATCTGAAATTTCATCAAAAATTTTGCTGTATTAATTTTTACCCGTGGGAACACTGTTTTTAACTTATTTTAAGCGGTTACGCAATTTCCAGGTATAGTACTGGTAAGTTACCGCATATGATTTTCGGCGAATAAATGATAAAATATTTTGTTTTCCCCGTCCGTGTCCCTATATTCGAGCATCGCTTTCTTGTTTGTTCATATAGTCAAGAACTCAAGTGCAAAAAAAGGTAATAAAATTTACTTATTAAACGGTTTTTAAATAATAATCGTATCCAATCTAAGTAGTATATTTGAACGCATCTTTCTAAATTTTTTATTCAAAAATGTATGTCACATTTGATATGATATTATATCACCCACCGCATATGTATTTGAATTTTGTTTTGCATTATTTTTATTATTTAGTGTCTTTTTTTGAGAGAAAAGGGTTCGGTACTATTAATCACCAATCGCTACAAGAATATTATAATCATTGTATTCACGTGTCCAGAGATTTGTCATGGTAAAATGTAAAAATTACCTCGGGGAAAATCATAAAACTGTGGTGCTATTTTATATTTATATACACGAAAACGTAAAATGTAGAAATAGAAATCAATAAAACCAACTATGACGCCAAAATATCATGACGTAATGAGAACCGGGCCCCAGACACGCCCTAAAACAGGGGTGGGCAACCCCTGGCACGCGTGCCAAACTTGGCAACCCATTTATTCGGCACGCAAGCGAGGCCTCGAAAACTAGATCATTCTCCTTCAGATGAAAAGTTTCAAGACTCTGGTTTATCTGATTAAGCAAGGTGTTCGTTTTTTCATTATCGTTTGGTAACAATCCGTTAGTTAGCCGTTAGCCATGACTAGGGATTTGTTGTCTGTACATGTTCAAAAGGTTTATTATTATGTATTTTTGCTTTGAAAGTAGCAAAGAATTGTTTTTAATTTTGTTCGGCACGCGGAATAATTTTGTCGTTAAATTAAGCCGATTTTGGCACGCGAGCCGAAAAAAGTTGCCTACCCCTGCCCTAAAACATGCTGAAAACTACTGGGATCAGCTCTTCCAAGGTACAAAATGTAGCCACTATTTAATTTACCTTGTAAGCAGACAATGTAGCGGTAGCAGTGGAAATTTCTAATCAAGGGAAATGAGTAAATAGCCAATGACCTTATATATATATTTCTTGCGGTGTCGACCATATAGAAAAATAATGAAGTGGTCGCTCTGAATTCGTCGCTATAAGTAGTATCTTGGAATTGGTGGACAGCGATTGGGCTGTAATTCGACTATATCTTAAACCAGTGGTCGGCAAACTTTATGTACTTGCGGGAAAAATAAACACATTTCCGGTAACGTGCGGGCCGCATTAATTTACGCCTGCGAACTATCGCCACATTAACTTAAATTACGGCGCACATGGACCTTCTATTGCTGTGTTAAAAACCTTCCGCAATGAGACGTGTAACTGGCCATTATATATTTTCAAGTAAACGTTATTTTTATTTACTTATTATCAATGTGAACCTGTTAGATGATGTTGTTTCTTTGTCACGGCCAAAGCGTTCAAATCAAATGCCCACTTCGTTGACACGCAGTGCATCGTCCAAATGACGATCTGACAAACGAGTACGAAATTGATTCTTAGTGTAATGCATTTTATATAAAGCTTCTCACAGCAATATGTGCCTCTGAACATGCTTATCACACGTTTTGCACTGTCCCACAGATAAGCAGTGGCGCGGTCTCGGATCGAAATTGCAATGACACGTTTAGTAATGATGTTTAACATTAAATCCCTTACTGCGATGCTGACTTGGCATATCATTATATCAAGCAAACTGGTTTTGAAATGCTTAAGAATGAAAAATATTTTTCCGTCTAAGCACTTCGGAATGTCCTACCCAAGTCGCAAACTCCTCTCCATTTCCCAGGCATTCTCAAATTTAAATAATCAACATGAATTTAACTTATAATTACAACTAACAACATAGAATTGACGCTACTTACTACGAAACAAACGTATAAATCCGTGTGAAGACAATAATAACTTCAGGATCATTTTTTATGCAATAAAATTCTGGTCGTTCGGGGGCCGCAAAAAATTAGGTGAGGGGGGGAGGGATGGGGGCGCGGCTTAAAAAGTTCGAGAACCAGTGGACCAGTCGATTGACGGATCTTGAATAGTCGTTCGCGCCGAATGTTGAGTGAACACGACAACATGCCATGAGAAATTTGTCTCCAAACAATATTAGGCCTCGCTTTTTTTTTAGAAAAGAGGGCGAAGCGTTGACCAACAAATGGCTGTCTCTACGATTGTTTTTGTATAAAGCCTTAGCTTGTGACAATTTTTGTCTTCTCTGGTATGTCAAAATACATATTCGTAATTGCGTATGTTGCAATGCAACGGAGTTTGAACTCTTCCATCATTCATGACTTTGTTTATTAGCTGGTGCCCTAAAAAGGAAACGATGACTTTCCATAACCAACCGGAAGGGGTGCGACGCGCCCCTTACACTAAAATCTCTTTGAGCGGGTATCGTCGAAAAGTTTTATTCACAATCCATCGACAGAGGGCTGCTCAATTATAGGGAATATTCGTAAATTGGACCTAGTTTGGGCCAATGACGTAGTCGAACAAGGCTATGTGTGCGACGAAGCGTAAGTTTAGAGAGACACAAAATTAAATTCCAACTAACTAAACAATTCATTTTGAAATTTTTAAACAGAGCTGTACAACGTGAGGCAACGAGATTTTGTTGCCCACGAAATGCTTCGTCACCTAATCTTCTGTAATAGTCTCAGTTAAAAAGATGGCGATCCATGATCGGACAATATTCAGATCAATATACAGATGCGACGAGAGGCCAGGAAACGGTGTGATGGGACCCGCCCCGCAAAGCTATGAACAACCCTGATCTAGAGTATATGGTAACTAACTAACTAAGTTTCAGGCAAAGGGAGGGGATCATTAGGGATGGTATAAATTTATACGCTTTTGTTTTACGGATATTTTAGTCGATCTCAGTCGAGGACAGGTTGGCCACCCCTGTAGACGTATTGGACACCACTGAAAATACTGCAGTGTGTATCTCACCAAGTATTGCGACGATAATTATCGGGATTAATCCTGATAGGTATTTTCAACGATTAAACAAAATGAAAATGATTAGTGATTAAAAGTTAGTAATTAAAAAGAAGGCGGGTGCAGTAACAGAGTTGTCATAGACATCGAATTGTACCCATATATTTGTATACTTACAGATTCCAGCATCCATATACGAATTGACAGGCTTGTCCGTGGGAATGGGATTCCCATGGGATGGGATGTGACAGCACACATCTGTATTTCCCATGGGACACGTGGGACACGGAAAACGTATGATTTTCGGGGAAATGATGATAAAACATTTTGTTATGGACTTCGTGTCCATATATTTGAGCATGGCTCTCTTGTTAGTTATAAAGAGCAAAATATATTCAGCATTAACAATATACTTCGTGAAGGGGCTGAGAGACACATGTATAATAGTTAGGAATAAAATTTAATAAAGTCCGTAAATTTTGTTGTTTTGCATGTCTCTTCGTACGTGTCGTCCTATTTAATGAACGCTAAACCTAAATTTAACAATTTTAAATAAATTTTATTCCAATGGGAATCCCATGGGATGGGATGTGATGGGACAGGCATAATTGCTATGGGATGGGAATGGGACAAAAAATACGTCCCATGGATAAGCCTGCGGATTGGAGCTATTGACTTTTGGATATCTAGAC